GTTATACAGTTCAGTACTGTATCTGGATCATTGATTGTTATACAGTGTCCATCAATAATTATCTGACCCATTTTAAATATCAATTAAAAAAAATAGTATTGATAGAAAACACCAATTTTATTATAATTGACGGACACAGGCTTGAGTAGTAAGCAGAAATGAGAAAGGTGGGGTGGATGTGCAATGAGGGTGGCCATTAGATATATAAGGTAATTAGTATCTGTAAGGAAACACAGAAACCCTTCAGAGCTAAGAGAGTGACTGGGTAATTGAGAAAATTTGCAAATTTGTGTTTAAGAGGTGAGTTGCAAGAAATTGTATTTAGAGTTAAGAACCTGGCAAGAGATACTGCAAGAGACCACGCAGCATGGAGGGCTTTCATTTGGTAAATGCGGCAAACACTCAAGCCAGTGTTCAATATTGGGTTGGGTATTGGGGGAGGGGTCACTCACATTCATGTATTACTGTATGTACTTACTTGTGCTTATTTATTATTCTAATAAGTTGATTCCTATATTTTCTAACTTTACAGCTCCTCCCCGACTTACGACCTACTTGACTTACGACCACCCGCACTTACGACCTGCCTCAGTCGTACCAAAATTTTGTCAAATTACATATTTTTGAGTCCCAACGTCAGTACACAGACAAAATTTTCGTTTGTAATTCACTTTAAAATGGCTGGCAAGCTTAAAAGTGAGAGTTTTGTGGTGCTGAGAAGAAAAAATAGACACCCATTTTAGATTTTCTATGTACAGTATTATTTAAGCATTTTTGACTTACGACCTGGATTTGGGTCCCTAACCCCGTCGTAAGTCGGGGAGGGGCTGTAATTGCAAATTAGATAATAAAATTTGTTAATAAAATCGCCAGATTAAAGGAGTTACTATATTGTCCAACCACAAAATAAAAACAAAGTGGCTAAAAACATCACATTAACTATAATATGTCTTGTGATAATATTACCAACTTAGCAAATGGTTACACTGTACTGTACTGTAGTAATTTACAAGTGATGAACATCATAAGTGGGTTTGCTGCTCAATTTTTATAGCTCATGTATCACAAATTATTTTAGTAATACAGTATATAATTGTTATTTATTTTTTTATTTTTAACTTTTTGATTGATCATATTTCACATAAAGTATAGCTTTCCTGCAGTAATAAAAGTGGGGTCTTTTCAGGACCCATGGTGGATCTTCATGAATTGCACATTTCCATGGGTGGTCAACTCCCCTTGCATTTCGAACCCAGACGCAAACATGGAAAACAGCTGTAAAGCATTGATGATTAACAACTTGCATTTTTTTTCTTGTCTTCCACATTTGCATCTTGTTCTGTCCATAATATTATTGAGGTTATTAAAGATAGAAAATGGGTGATGTAAATTAAGGACACTGTGTACAGAATTATGCAATAATATACAGAGTACTGTACAGTAGTTTACTGTCGTGTTCAGCTAAATTATTGATGGCTATATCTTGTAAGCAGGAGTGACCATCCATAAATGTTGGTTATTTATCAGAATAAAATTTCCATATTTTATATGCATAACCCATTTATGAACAATACAGTAATGTACTTCACTGTATTGTATATGTATTTGAAGCTTTGTCGTAATTTTATGTGCTGTACAAACTTCATGGGATAAGCATTTTTCATGAGTATTTTTTTTTATTCTTTTTCTTTTAGCCATTCACAGTTGAGGCAGAATGTATGTATCATGACTAATACTGTTTATAGGCAAGATATCTCTTCACAGGTTTTGAAATCACACATTCATGGTTTTCAGTGGAAACCAGCCATAAGTCAAATTAATTCAACAGACATATTAGCCAGTTCAAATATTAACCTGATAACAGAAGAAATGTGTGCCAAAACTCAGTTAATCTGTAAACACATTTTTAATAATTTTGTTGCTCCGTCAATGTACTACGGTACTGTGGAGTGGAGTTTGGCACATGATCTTACATATTTCATCTTGGGGAAGGATGACCATAAACAGGTTGCACACCCTTTCATACTCATTATTCATCTTTCACTGCTGAATTTTATTAATGGTTTGCAGTTTGTAAATAATAGAGCCTTGACTGCCAGCTTTTTCAGTTCCTGCTTGGTCCCTGTATAGACATTGATCAAAAACCTTGCATACCATAAGACAATTTGAAATTCAGAAAGGATGGTTCTTCGCTACGTACATGGAAATTCCAGAATGCTGCATACTGTACTATACGGTACCAGGTTCCAAATGAAATAGAATACATTGGTGATTACCGTATCTTGTGAAGAAAGATCAAAAGTCTTCTTTTACAGAACCTTAAAACCAGGTATGTATCTGTATGCCAGTGTCGACAAAAGCTGTGCTCATTATGCTTCAATGCTTTACTCAGCTTAAAAGCAATATCATGCTTTTGATATGTGTATATATATATATACATACACACACAGTAATACCCCGATTTACGCTTTGGTTTTGCTTTACTCGATTCTACATTTACGCGGTACCTCGCCAGAACCGGAATTTCATTTTACGCTGTGCATCTACTCATATACGCGAGCGAAGTATAATTTTTTTATTTAGCTCATAAAATTCATACAAATTACCCGGCCAGAATATAATTTACATTGATGGAATTCTTACAATATGATGATCATTTTGAATATAAACATCATGGATTTTGCATTAGACATACAAATTTTAGAGCTAATGTAATAATTTGGTTTGCACAAAGCAAATATTAATCTTTTGTGCAAAATATATGAAGTTTACATTCAAAATATTCCCTGACCTGTAAGGAATCCAGAAATGTCAATTATATTATCCTAACTTTAGTCTTAGGTATTATTTATTATTATACCTTAAAATCTAGTGTTTTCACCCAAACATTTCTCAGAGAGGGAGGAGCCAGCGAGCTTGGGAAGAGAGAGAGGGGGGGGGGGGCGGGAGTTGAGTCCATTATTTGAATGGACATTAACCTGCGACTGTATTTCTCTTAAATATTAATTGTGTATGCATACCATCATAAAATTAAGATGTTATTTATACTACAACATAGGTATTGTGTCGGAAAAAGTGGGGTTTGGGGGTCGGGCCAGTCTCTATTGGAATTAATCCCATATGTTCTATTGTTCACTTTACGCGGTTTTCACTTTCCGCGGTACCCCGTGGGTTCAATTGACCGCGTTAATCGGGGTACTACTGTATATATATTATGATTTGGATAACAATTAGGATTTCATCATGTGGATGTAGCTTGGTTCCATGTAGATTGTTTATGAGGGACAACATACAGTACAGTATTGTATTTAATTCAGTATTAAAGTTTAACCAGATATAGAGTAAATGCTTATTCTTTTTTATCTATGCATTTTGCTATTTTATACTTTATAATCTTGATATGGGGCCATTTCATAATTAACATAAGTAAATACAGTATTTCCTACCATGAGAACCTGCTGTCAAGTGACAGAACCAGGTGGGTCAGAAGGTTCTGTAATAGCAAGGACAAGGTGTGCCCACCTCCCATGTCTACTGCCTGCCCTATCCACCACTACTCACCTCTTGTCATTCCAACTATCTCTCATTGCCCACCTCCTGCCCTGCCATGCCAACCACCCCTCACTGCCCACTTCCTACCCTGTTCACCTCCTGCCCTTCACTCCACCCATCACTACCAACTTCCTGCCCTGTAAACCACTGGTCACTACTCAATCTCTGCTTTATTTTGTTTTAATTAGCACTATTTTTTCACAGTATATTTTGTCCTTTAAATATCACAAATTCTCAGAGAGTTTGTGTACAAAACTCATATACTGTATGACAATAGAAATACTGTACTACAATTAATTGGACAAAATCAAGGTTATAAATGTGCAATATAAAACTATCAATAATTCTTCATCCCCTATCCATTGACTTATGAACTTGTTAATTACTGTTACTGGTATGACTGCCTGAAATAGTTACAAAACAGCAGTGAATGTACAGTACAGTACTGTATACATAACTGTAATCACATTTTATGTCTTAACACTGCTTTAACGGTATTCTTAGCTGATTTTATGCTGGTACAGTAATGTACAGTACAGTAGTACTGCACAACACAGATCATATGTGAAAACATCAATGAGCAAGCGAACAAGCTTGTAGGATGGCAGCATAATACATCAGCCAATCATAAGCATCCCATACAGTCACATGACAGTGCAATAGTGGCCAATCGTAGCTTAAGAGCACTCTGAGCCAACCCACCCACATGCCCAACATGTGTCCCCATGCCAGAAACATGATGCAATCTCTCAGAAATTCATTTGAATGCCAGCAACAGAGAGATTTTCTGTAAATGCACTGATTCCATCTCTTTGAAATTTATTTGGATGCCTGGAATGAAGAAATTTTCCTTGGAATTTCTCAGAATACAAAAAATAATTCCGGCTATTGGAGAGTTCCAGGGATCAAAGGTTCCAGATGACGGAAAGATTATGGTAATTTAATCTTCTGCATTTGTTTCATATTACTGGACTTACTGTGTGGGTTTTTAACACCTAGTAATACTGTATGTAGACATAGAAAATTTATAGTAGATAATCCTTATGATTATAAATTATTAATTTCATTAGTATTATTTTATTGGAAAATATTGTACAGGTAGGCGGGTAATCTTTGAATACCTCAGGGAGCTGCAACCTTGCCATACCAGCTAAGAGAGAGCTTGGATGTCCTTCTTATAATGTTTGGTTCCCATTCTGTAAAAGTGGCTTAAAATTTGCCTGATGACAGCCAGGAGAGAGGCACAAGAGCATGCAACCTGGAGAGCTGCTGTCAGGTAAACATAGTAACCCATGTAAGCATGGAAAATGGTTGTAAAATGGGGATGATGATAAAAAATATTGTACCCATTAAAATATTTGTATTTATTATACTGAAACAAACATTATAAACTAGTAGTTGAAAGAGAAAACTTAATACTGTAGTTCTCTTTTTTTGTTTTTTTACAGCTGAGCTGGAGAATGGAGAGGCAGCCCCGAGGGGGTTCCATTAGGAATTTTCTATGCAAGGGAAAAGTGCTTTCCCTGAGTAACAATGATACATTACTGTACAGTACTGTCTGTGTATTGATTAACAAAGGGTAATTTTGTAGAAATGGCTTGACAGTTTCCTTTAGTACTTTCCACTTCTGTCATCTTCCTAGTAGCAGTGGTAATCCACCTATCAAGTTATCAAGTATATTACATTACCAAACATTGCAGGTTTTCTCCAGGTACTCTGGTTTCCTCCTGTACTGACACTAGACAAGAAAGGTTATATATAACAAAGCAGCAAAGAACAGACCATCCTCCAAACAGCTAGTAATCTTCTGTGATGAAATTATAAAAAAAAAAAAAGCTCCTCATTATGTTGTATAGTTAGTTGATAATCTCTACAGTACAGAAGTTATAAATACGTACTGTACTGTAGCTGAGTGTCTGGGCTTTCCAAATATTACAGTACTGTACTGTACAGGTATGTGAAAATTTGGTGTATCATTCTTTTACAAAGTTGAATACAAATACAGTATGTGTGTAAATTGTCATAACAGCTGTATGCATTGAGTATAGTGTGCATGTTCATGAATAGTCTTAGGAAAGTTGTAAGCATTAAGTAAGTAGCTTCAGAGAAAAATAATTGGGTAGCAAACACATATCAAGAATATTACACCACAACTCCATTTTCCCTTGGAGGTACAGTACAGTAATCAAAGGAAAAATAGTTTTGTAATCGATCCCAACATTACAGATTTGGTACTGTATAGTGTTATGACATATTTTTTGGCAAAAATAAAATGTGTCATGTACAACCACTTTTTAATGTACTGTATAATTTAAAATTCTGTAAAAGCTTCAACTTAAAGTACTGTATCAAACATTTCCTCATGTAGCAGATGGTGTCACTCAAGTAAGGGATATGAGATGAATATGATATAGTATTGATTTTCTAGGTCAGTAGTATTAGATTGTACTGTAATGAGCCCCATAATAATTTATGAGGTATGAACTACGAAATTGCTTAACTGATTAACTTAAGTATACTGTACTTGTTGTTATTTACTCAGACTTATGTCCTTTTTACTTTTACTTTTATACTCTTCGTCACTGATCGACTCATTAGCTTTGTTCATGATTAGGATGATGTATGCCTGAGGCCTAGCTTGTAAAAAAAATGCACACTTAATTTTGGCAAGTTTTATGGTATAATGATAATAATGATGATGATGATGATGATGATGATGATGATGAATGCAGCCATGTAATAAATGTAGTAGTTTAGATTATGAAATAGATATTGGCAATAGAAAGTAATAAATACTTTCTGTTCAGGATAATACAGGTTTCCCTCGCTGTACGAAGGGATTTAGATCCTGAAAACCATTCGTAATGTGAATTTTTGAATAGCAGATAAAAGAACATGTAGGGAAAAAGGGTTTGGTTCTCAATGACAAGAAAACCCCTAGATCATACCCCAAAAACATGAAATCAGTTCCCCCAAAACATAAAAATCTATACGTATAACTAATGATAAGTAGTGCTACCTAACACATTAAAAACATAAAAATATACAGCTAAAACCATTAACGTAAAGCTGAATCAAAGTTTAACACAGCCGCCATTTACATATATGCTGGCTGTATCATGCGTGCCTGGCGCTCATCCTCCCAACCCTAAGCAACACTCCCCCTCCTGCTCACACACATAAAGAAATGTTTATTCCCTTAAAGGTTTTTACCTTATGGTAGTTATTTCTTTTACTTACTTTTTTTTTGCACATTATGTATGTACTGTAGAATTGTGTGTGCATGTAACTGAGAAAAAAAAAGTGAAGAAAGTTCAGTTTATCTATCCAAAATTATGAGTTGATAAATAATCATAACATAACTCCTCTAGCTTATCCTGCTAACTCTTGCTGGTGTATGAAATTTTTTAATCCTTTTACGTATGTTTATGACTTTATGATAAATATTTTTGGTTTTTGTTTTCCACATTTTGTATGTAGGATTGTGTGTGCATGTAACCAAAAAAATCTGAAGAAAGTTATGTTTATATTCTATACCAGAAATAACTAGTTGAAAAATAACCATAACTCCTACCTGAACCTGGTAGAGAGTGTTAGGGGTACGGTATGTGTCCGCCCCAGCTGACTCCCGAGGGCTCACAATTGGAATTTTTACTGGGATCCAAACTCGTATAAGTTGGGGAAGCTTTCATAACATAAAAGAGGTGGTAAATTAGGACAATTTTAGAAGTAAATTTTTGTATCTCAAATGTTCGTATAAAGAGGGATACCTGTATGTTGTGATTAAGAGGGAAGAGGAGCAGGAAACTTATTATGGTTGCTTATATTTGTCTATTCAGAATTCTTTTTTTTTCATTTTGGGAATTTAATGGTTATAATTTATATGTTACTGAGTTCTATAGTATACAAAACACAAGGAAGATATTTTGAAAGGTTTTTAAAAGAAACAATGTGAACAGAGCGCTAAAGTTATTAATTCACTGAAAAATCTTTACATTAAACTTTCCAGTAATACCTCTTAGACTTAAACGTATTACAGACAACAACAACCAAAATTATTAGAGTACAGTACAGTAAACTCTATTGATAACTCGTGGCATTTGGTAACTCGGAATTTCATATAACTCGGCATGGATATGGTCTCGGAATGCATTAGTATAACTCAGGAAATGCCAAGATATATAAAATCTGGGAAAATCTCGGCATATCTGGCCACCTGCATCACCTACCATGCCTGTGTCACCTACCATGCCTCTGTGTCACCTACCATGCCTCTGTGTCACCTACCATACCTCTGTGTCACCTACCATGCTTCTGTGTCACCTACTATACCTCTGTGTCACCTATCATGCTTCTGTGTCACCTACTATGATGCTTCATTCTTCACCTGCAGTGCTGGTAAGTGTTTCTGTTTTACATTTAGTAATTACATGTACACATATATGGGTCGATAACTTTTTATTGTTGTATTTTTGTAGGAGGGGGAAGTGCCTCGATTAGTCGGAATTTGGGTCAACTCGGCAAGGCCAGAGCCCCATATGTGTCAAGTTATCGAGGGTTTACTGTTTATGTATACAGTACATGATTCAAATCATCTTGTGTAGCATAATGAAAAGGTTAATTAATATATTTATAGGAATGACTTTATTTGTATAAGCACCCTGTACTGTAGTATTTTACATTCATAATGTTTGTTTCAATGATGAATGTGAAAATTTAATTTTACAATGTTCCTGCCCTCCAAAACTTTAAGTTAACCCCCTACCACTGCAGCAGAACTCCCACAACCCTGCTGTTTTATTTTCTTAAAAAATTCCAAAGAATCGTCTAGATTAATAAGTACAGCATGCCGTTCAAATTTGCGGATTTTTAATTTGTTGACCTCGGTTATTTGCGGACTTGAGGGTAGACTCAATATTTTTAATACATTTTTTTCTGGTTATTTGTGAGAGGATTTTCCCATTGTTATTTGTTTGTATGTGTTTTGAGTGTGTGTGTCTACACACACACACACACATATACAATACTACGGGTAAAATAAATAATTGTCCTAAGGGCAAACACATAATGGAATATATGTTGCAGCCATTTTGAGAACCTAACCCCAGCGAATTTGAAGGGCACGCTGTACTGTATAGTTCTATACCCTACACTCAGAGCTCAAAATTTATATACCACATACAGATGTACGGTACATTCATTTTCACCCACCCAGTACAGGTATTAATAAATTTATTGAAGTACAGTACAAATAGTAGATGTACAGTCAGTACACAAATTACCTTAGTGGGCTCTGGGTGAAGGCTCTTTACTTCTCTCTAGATGTTCATCTGATTATGAGATTATTCAGCACTATAGTGGCTTCAAAATGTAGGTTGATGGTCTGTGATTGAACACAACATACTACAGTACTATAACGTATCCAGTGGTTGTCCAGTCTTTTCTTAAAGGTCAACACATCTTTTGTAAGGTGAAATACTTTAAGTACGAATTGTCAAATTGATTTACTCAGTTTACTCAACCATAGATGTTTTAATTGTGATACATAATTTACATTAGACCATTAAAACAAATTTAATGGAAGCTTTGCATATACTATACGTTCTGTACTGCACTGTACAGTACAGTATGTGCGTGTACAGTACAGTACAGGTATAAATATACAGGTTTACTTATCATTATTACTGTACTGGTAGTGCTTATGGTTAGCTATGCTAATGAGATGTTATTTGTAATGATACTGTAATTGGAAAATACTGCAATGTGTATGTAAAATAAATTGATTTATAGTATGTGCACTGTACCTGACAAAATTACAAAGTCGACTTTCTAAACCAATTACTCAACCATGGATGAGATACAACTGTAGGGCAATGATTTACTGGTTTACATAACACAGTTCCAGATTTTTGTGTGGTTTGTCTGTCACTTCATACAACCCAGATATCCTAATCAGTAGTACAGTATACAGTACTGTATTCATATTTTGTAGTTTTAAACTGCCATAGGCCTACAGTATATGACTCACCCATTTTGTGTTAGCTAGCAACAATAATTTTGGTTAATGTCAGGGAATTTCATTATTTACATGGTACATTATTTAAGATGTGCTGTAAGAACACAATACAGTACTGCAGTTATCTTCAAGAAATAGACAATATTCAGCTGCTAAAAATGAGAGATATGGCCAAGAAAAACAGAAATAGATGTTGAGAGAATGAGGGAGTCTGTGTTCCAATAAATTACTTAAACTTTAGGTGATTGGTTTGACAAAGAGATCACAAGTGAGATTTTGACCTGGAAGCTCAGTCATTGACCCATCAAAAAATATGATGGATTAAACTGATCCAACAGTAAAGAAAAAGAACAAGGTGGCAGATCATGGAGACTTGCCTGAGTCTGTAAGTATAGTACAAGTAAACCTCTATTTACGATGTCCCAATCTATGATAATTTATATTAACAATGCCGATGTAATAAGACCACTTCCCTATATGTGTTGTAAACAAACTCACATTAACGATATTCGTTGTCCCGCCAACTCACCAAGTCTGCATACGGAACGCATTACTCATTTCATTTGTCAGCTGAGACATCATCTTTGTGGCCTTCTGGTGAACTACAATCCAGCCATTGTTTCTTCTTGGTTACATGTGTGTAAGAAATGGAACTCAATGGTTATTGATAATTTTGTTTTTCACATATTTTTTTCGTTTTAACCTTACAGCAAGAAGATATCACCGAAGCTCATGTTGTGACTGAAAAGTGCTTTGGCTGTGTTGTGAACATGAGGTGAGCAGCAGCAACCGATATCATTACAGCTACTCCTCGACTGACGACCTACTCGACTTACGACCACCCGAACATACGACCGCCCGTTGTACCAAAAAAATTTCAAACTACGTATTTTCGAGTCCCACCATTAGTGACTGCGCTGTGTACTGACAAAATTTTCGCTTGTAATTCCATTTAAAATGGCTGGCATGCTTCAAAGTAACAGTTTTGTGGTACTGAGAAGAAAAAGAGACACCCATTTTAGAATTTCTATGTATTATCTTCGCATTTTCGACTTACGACCTGAATTTGGGTCCCTAACCCCGTCGTAAGTCAAGAAGCAGCTGTATTTTTGTTATCGGTGTTTTTTTCCTTACAGATACAGGAAATTACTGTTTCACAGTGTACTTTACTGTACTCAGTTTTACTAACTATGAGGTGTTTTCTCTGCTTTTGCTCTAACTGTAAAGTGTTTTAGTAACTGTGAGGTGCTTTTATGCTGACTGTGAAGTGCTTTAGTAACTGTGAGGTGCTTTTATACTGACTGTAAAGTGCTTTTGGAATGGTGAGGTGCTTTTATGCTGACTGTGAAATGCTTTAGTAACTGAAGTGCTCTTATGCTGACTGTGAAGTGCTTTAGGAACTGTGAGATGCTTTTATACTGACTGTGAAGTGCTTTAGTGACTGAGGTGCTTTCCCCCTGTTTTTGTGACAATGAATTGAGCAGTGTAATTTTGAAAATGTCTGGCAAACGTTTTGCTCACCATCTTTAAGGCCAAGACAAAGGCTACACCTCTGGTCCCCACTCTTCAGACTCCCCAAATTCTGTGTAGGACTCGGCTTGATATCTCCACTCCACCTTAAAGGTCCTCTTAGCATCGAAGGGGACATGTGATGATGACCAGACTTATTATGATGTCGTGAGTGTTGTTTAATTGTGTTGTAGTGCTAGTAGTATTTTCGGATTTTTTTTTTCAGTAGGAACCTCTCCCATTGAACCCCATGTTAAAATGAAAATTCAGTAAATATTCTTTTACTTTATTACAAAGCATTACTGTATACAAAACACATCAGCATGCAAGTTGGACCTCAATTCTTTTGCTCATGAGATTCTGATCTTACTAAGTACTTGGTCTTGTGGCAAGAAAGTGATCCTAACTTTTTTTTTTCAAATATCATTAAGTACAGTATTACATTACAAGTCACCTATACCTGTATAGTGCAGACACTAAAAACTTAATGTAAGGAATGAACTAAACTTTGAAATAGAATCGATGAATGTGTTTCAAACACAAATTCATATAATAACTAAGTAATATCCCGTTAGCTGGAATCTTAATCCCCAGAACTTTCCATTACCGGAGGAAAAAATTGAGCAATTCTTAGAAGAATCTCTGTTCCAGGCATTCAAATGAATTTCCAAGAGATTGCTTCATGCTCCAATGTGTAAATATGTGGGTGGACTAACTGCATGGGTAACTTAGGCTGTAGGGTCATACACTGTGATTGGCAACTACATTATCATGTTGACTGCAAGGGATGTCTGTGATTGGCTGATGCATCTCCCAGTCTATCTCCTGAAACCCTAGCATCATGATGTGCTTAGTTCATAGTCTGCTGCCATTGTACAATCTTATTCGCTCATTCTCTATTGTTTTCGCATATGTTATGCTGTACTGTACTGTACATTACTGTTCCAGGATACAATCAGTCAAGAATACAGTTAAAGCACTGTTAAGATTTAAAAATGATTACTGTACTGTACATTCAGTAAGTGAGAGAGTACTGTACAGTCGCTCCAAAAGGTATTATGATTTTGTGAGTCAATATGACAAGGATTTTGACAACCCTACCAAGACAACAGGTGCTGCAGTGTTCAATTTGAAATTCATAGGGCCCCTCCATAAAGATACCTTTTGGAGTGACTGTACATACAGTACTGTGCATAGCAGAATGGACAGTGTATGACTACTGTAGCCTAGTGTGTAGAGGGTGTGCACACATTATACAGCACATGTACAATGCCAAAAGCTACAGAAAAACCTGTGGCACCAAGCTGCCACAGTAGATGGTACAGGACAGAGCAGGCCATCCTGTATCATCATACCACCATTTGGCCTGCCTGCATCACAAGCTCAAGACAACAGCATCTGCTGGTGAGTACAGTACAGTATAGTGTATATAGTAGTATATTTTGTTTATTTACAATATATTGTACATGTACAGTAGTGTTTACATAAATAAGTACAGCTGTCTGACTATAGTTAAGCCTTTGTAACAACAGTGCCCCATGCCAGATGCATAGTTTAGAAACAAACATTCAGCAATGTCCGGAAAAATTCTGTAGATGTGTCATTTTTGGGGGGGATAACAGAATTCGTCTCAATATCCGCAAATCTCTCAGACCCGGAAATGCTCTGCAACAATTGTTCCAGCTATCGGGATACTGTATTCACATACTGTAGATAAAATGAATAGTAAATAATATTCAAACGAAACAAGACTGTGAAACCCATACTGAATTATACAACAAAAAAGATAGACATGCTTAGGATACAAAGATAGGGCTCTGTTACAATTCACCAGAGATGAGCACAGTTACAGCCCTTCATGGTGCTGTATCTTATTTGTTTACATTTATGGATTACAGGATGTCAATTCAATACAAAGAAACAGCTAACCATATAGTCTCAGCAAAGTCAAATAAAGGTGGTTCATTTCCCTTTTGCTGTGCCACATAGTCACTGAAAGAATGACTGACCCAAAGAAAACTTGCAATACTGTACAGTATTTGCAAGGGTCACACTAGATACAGTTACACCTTTCTCACCTTCAACCTAGGGATTGGACCTGGGATACAGGAGTGAGAGGATAGCTGAAATGGGATGGTCTGTGGTGGTGAGTGATCAGTTGACAAATAACCATGAGATTTTGGAGTTTATGCACCTGCCTTACAATGTATCTTAAACTGTACTGCACTTCATATATGGTATATTTGTACAATATTTCATATTTTGACCTAACTTTAAGTGTTTCTACTTGCAAATATTTTTTTTTTTTTGAGACATGACTGTGAGAATAACATGAAATTGTTTGAGAACAACTGTATCATCAAATTAGCCCAAAATATCAAATTGTGAATATTGTATCAAAATACAATAGTGAGGGTTCAGTGTATTGTTGAGTTCCACTTTTAATCATTTATTATAACTATCCATCCTTCAATTACGATCAGTCAACAAAAAAACACTTATTTGATAAAACATATGGAGTACAACTTCCATAAATTATACAATAAAACTGTAGAATTTACACTTTTAACATGTGCAAAGCATGCAGTACTGTACTTTCAAATAGCTGCTACTTGGTCAAGGTTAATAAAATTTAAATGTATTCACATACTGTACTGTATACTGTACACACATTTCACAATGTAATATTATAAGGTATATAAGATTTGATCATTATAATTTTTTTCATGCTCTTATTCAGTCACTCAACTTTTCTTTATAGATATGTTCTGCTGTGGTAGCCTGTGGCTGCACTAAGGTGTAATGATATCCATTTTGTTTCATACATCTCCATAGCAGAAGGTCCATATTTCATAACCACTCTGTGCCAGGCTCTCTGGTCATAAGCACACATGTCATGTAATATCTTGTAACAAAACATGTTGTGGCTACAGTTCAACGGATCATCCATTATATTTGTGTTTCAGTAATTTCATTAATTTTTCCTTTAATAAGGGAAAATTCTTTACAGATCCTTCAGATTATCCTTTGCACCCAATCATGTGCTCTGGTATCAAGTTAAGAAAATATATTTACATTAACATAGTTAACTTAAAAATTCCTCCCCTTCTGCCACTTATACACATATATATAATTTGCATACAGTTAACATTATAATACTTTAACCACTCTGATGCTCCAACATACCTGTGACACTGGAATGTGTACTCAAAACATTAACACACCCATCTTGTTCAATTTACACTCATATGCAAGTTGCATCCCATACTGGATGCATTACTGGAAATTATGTAATACATAAGACATCACTACTCACCCTAAATTCCTGGCCAGTTACATATATTTTATCCCTTATATCTTCTGTGATCCAGTTTTAGCTCTGCATGCAGTTCCCAAGGTTTATCAGGAAGTGTGTGTGTGTGTGTGTATGTTTTCAGGGGTCGATCTATGCTGCTTTCTGTGATAAGCCTGTTTTATTAGTACATTATTAATTATTTAGAATAAGTAAAAAAAAATTGTCTGTCTCAAACTTCTAGGCATATTATATAGGTCTCATTTTTTTTAATGAAAAGAACTCAGGAGATCTTTAACAAACATTATCCAAATTTAAGGTGGATCTCTGCTGTTTTCATGGCTCTTGTGCGGGAGATTCATTATGGTGTACAGTAGAAGTTAGTAAAAGATAGCAAACTTGATTGTCTTGTGCTTTATACAGTACTGTATTAGAGATTTTTTGATAATAATGATAGGCCGACACAAGAAATATGTTATTTATATAATTAAGTGAACTAGAGACTACAAATGTTCAAGGTGCCAAAGAGGTAAGCTAACTTAAACAGGTATGGGTATCCCTCGAGATATAAACGTTCGAGATATGAAAATTCGCTTATATAAATTTCCTAAATTGACACCACTATTTCGTGTTATGAAAGCTTTCCCCATTTATATGAATTTGGGTCCCAGCAAAAATTTAAATCGCACGCCCCAGGAAGTCAGCTGGGGCGGCCACATCCCGAAAGTGCTCTCCTTACCAGGCTGAGGTAGGAGTTATGTTATGGATATTTTTCAACTTGTAAAACTCTCATAATTCATATCTCCCAAATTCTAAATCACTCATAATTAAAAAAAAAATTGCTGTTAAGAAATATTATAAAAGTTCAAAATGTTATATGATATACAGTACAGATCTGTATATCTTACTGTATTACAATTTTCTTAATATTTGGAAACATTTCCGATTATGAGACATTTTTGAATACTGTATATGATGCACATGTCGCCATGGGATGCAACTCTCCTCCTCAGTGTAAACAAGTACTATACGTGTCACACATGTCAGTCACAGTCGGCTCACATTTGGTCAGTGGTGGAATGTTCATCGACAGACTTCCACACAAACTTTTTCCCACTTGTTTTTCCATCATTTCCAAGTGTTTGAGTCATTGTCTGATAGCATTGGATCAAGCATCTAAATCTGATACTGTACTCAGAAATTTTTAAATTTTGATTGGGCCAGATAAGGCAAAAGTACCGGGGGGGTCCCCTCATATTTTGTAAAATCTCATACATAATTCATAAGGGCTAGAGTCCCTATAATTTAGATTTACATGCTCACATAATCCTTCATACAAAATGTGCAAAAAATAATAATCATAAGGTTAAAAACAAAGGGATTATAAATATTTCTTCGTGTTCCACCGAGAGCCAGCAGGATGAGCTTGGAGTTATGTTATGATTATTTTTCAATCGTAGTTTCACTTAACTTTTTCTTTTTCAGGCTGTGATACCAAATATTTTACCCAATCAATCAATCTTTTTTTTTTGCTCAGTTAAATGCACACAATCCTACATACATAATGTACAATAAAAGTAAAAGAAATTACTATCAAAGTTTGTGAGAGCAGGGGAGGGAGCGTTGTAAATCCTACATACATAATGTACAATAAAAGTAAAAGAAATTACTATCTAAGTTTGTGAGAGCAGGGGAGGGAGCGTTGTGGGTCGGTAGTGGAGGCCAGGCTGGTTGTTATGGTGACGCTTGAGGGCAGCCACACATGAAGCAGCCAGCGTCTATGCAAATGGCGCCTGTATTCAACTTTGATTTAGCTTTTCCTTAATAGTTTTAGCTGCATATTTTCATCTAAATAGTATTTTATTAAGGTTTTATTAATGTATTAGGTAGTACATTTCAGTAATTGTATACTATTTATCGTTTCTTGTTTGTGAACCGATTTTTATTTTTTTTCGGGTATTTTGTCATTGGGGAATTAAACCCTCTTTTTCCCCCATGTTTTTGTATTCGAGATACGAAGTCGCAAACTATTGTTTTTTTTTTTTTTTTACCTAATCCATTCATAACTCAAGGGATACCTGTACTGCCTTTACATTTTTAATATTGCTGTTATTGTAATTCTGTACTGAAGCAAATATGAAGATGTATTGAATCAAATCACTTTGGGATTATTCCAAATTAAAATCTAATATGAAACCCTAAGTACAGAAGGTACCTTATTTAAATGCAGTACAGAACTGTACTACAGTATGTATATTTCTAAATACATACTGTATTACAAGCTGAAGAAAAGGAATGTTAAAGTCAGAAACACTTATTCTTGTATGTGGTTACTAATATATAATTTGTGTGATCTCAGGAATGACTAACTTATCAGACATATATTTCATGTGAGAAAGGTGAGAATTAAGAATGACATATTAGAATATTTAGATTATTTTTTTTTTTTTTTTAATCGACTTGGAAAAAAATGGGGTTGATCATAACCAGGAAACAAACAAATCTACTTGGCCTCATCAAGAGTGTAGTAAAAACATATGTTTGAAATATTGTATGTTTATAGAGCAAAGACTGTGAGAAACATGTATATAACAAGTGACCATTAGCAATTTAATTCTATTGTCAACATCACAACTCTGGACGGAAATGGTTGTTCATCAAGTTTTCCTGAACTAAATTTTCTCCATTATTAGTATAAAAAATATAATTTGTATCATCATAATACACTATATTAGTGTACAGGTGTGGTGAATTCCCTGGATTAATAAGGCAACAGGAGATGTGCCTTATGTAAACTGGGGAATAATAGCTGTCAGCGCACCAGCCACTAATATCAAAATCATGTTGCAGTTCACTGAAGATGAGCCCAACTGTAAATAAACACAAAAGACATTTGTTCAATCTAATAGCAATGATACACAATCATTTAATAACATCTTAAATTCTATCTAATTAATGTCTTTACTCCTCTCTTATTTTTTTGTAAGGCACATAATGGTACTACAGTATAACCTCAAAGGAAGTGTAGAAAGTGCCAGTAACGGGATAAGACAACAAGTAGAGAATTTCAACTGTTCTGTACGTATATTGTAGTTCCATGGCCTTTCTAATGTAATATACATTACAATCATAACTTTATTTCAAAACTAGGAGTCTGCCAAATTTCTACAGTATCTCAATCCGACTTAAAGAGATAGGAATTTTTAAAAGAAAAAATTCTGTACATACTGTGATAAAATAGTTGCAGCGGTCCCCCTTACAACACTCTGCACAGGTCCAATCCTTCCACCAAATTCGTAGACAGTTGGGCATGTACTTGGTTATGCTTTCAACACATTCCTCTCTTGTGGCACACCTCTTGCTTATGTAGTGTTGCATCGGGGCACCAATTTGCCAGTATGGTGTGCCTGTATAAGTCCAACAGTAACATGAGGTTTTTAAAGCCTTTGGGGACATCTAAAGGATATATATATATAATATATATATAATATATATATATATATATATATATATATATATATATATATATATAAATAAATTGCCATACTGTACCAAGACTGATTTTCCATGACAAATTAAAAAGGAAACTGGTCGTTTAGGCTGTCAAGGCCTATACAATGGCCTAAACGTCAAACGGCCAGAGTGACCTGTGCACACATACCGTAATAATATAGGGTAATAATAATAATAATGGTAATATTATTAATTATTATAAAATATTGAAATTGTGTATGTCATTGCAGTCAACTGTGTGTGACTATACAGCTTAATTAACAAATGTGGTTCCCTTCCCGCTGAAATTCATGACATGAAAACAAAGAGTTGGGGGTACAGGGTTACACCAATCACCAACCAGAGGGGGCCAAACACATGGAGTGTATTTAACGTGTAGAAACATTAAAAGGGTGGCCTGTTCAATTTCTGGGACCAATAGCAAGTGCACATGGCCTCAAATTGGCCCCCAAATGGTCAGATTTAAAACATTTTCCAGGGAGGCTTACAGTGCCCAACCTCCCAGATGGGTGGGCTCACTATGTTCCCCCGCCCCCCCCCCCCACTTTGATTTTCCTGGATCTGCCCCTCTTAAAGTGTACAGTCTTTTAGTATTTTTTCTTTTAATTCACAATGTAGAATAACCCGACCAATAATTTAGTTAAATAAATTTTAAAATTCTTTTGTGGTTATGATAAATTTCTTTACTTTAATTTGTGTATACTGTACTGTAATTCGTTTATGCAAGACAATAACTACCAGTATTACTTAGTACTTACAGCATTATGTTTCAGCCTAAACATTCCTGTGGCCTATTACTGAGAGGTCAAGTTGATTACCGTGCCTCATTAGTTATCATTAATGCAGATCTGGATATTAGTAGAAGTAAAACAGCCTTACAAATGGTGATACAAAGATTTTATGCTTTTATGGACTTACAGTATTTACTTCAGCCAAAGTCCTACATCAATATAAAAAATAAATCTGCAGTCAATTAGTACAGTTGTTATATACTAGAGTAATTTTTTTAATAACCGTTACAATATCTATGTTACACAAGCTTGTTAAATTATAGCGGAACATTGTCCAAAGTCACCCTAGTTTGTGGTACTGTACATTGTATAAATCATTACACAAATGTGACAAATTACAGCCACTCTGATTGATAAATGAATACAGATATGTTTTGAGATTAATTCAAGATTAATTTCTAATTTTTCTACAACCAGATAATGATTTTGTTTCTAAAATAATCCGATGTAGCCCAGACACCAGATAAACTGGATAAGTGCCAGCAGCCGGTAAAAAAAAAATGCCTTCTACCTTACTGTGCTGCAGGGTGCCCCATTCCTTCATGATACTCACTTCCCCATTTAATTTCTGAGAGGCAGTAATCTTCACCAAAGTTGCACGACTCCACTGTTTTGGCGCACTTTCCTGTGTTCTCCTCTTGGTTTTTGCACACATAACATTTCTGACCCAACACTCCTGCAATCATCAAAATAAAATAAAAATAAAAACAATACCTGTATAAGATTTTGGGTAAAAATAGTAGAAACTTTATTTCTTTTTATGCATTCCTACTTCTTAAAACTGAGCAGTTTCTATACAAAAAATTACCACAATTAAGAGTGATGACCTATTCCACGACCAATAACGGTAAACGTAGAGCAAACAGCACCCGGACATGTTTATATATTTCGTTCGTAATTTCCTCTTTTTTTGGGGGATACTGAGTAATAAAATCAAAATGACAAGATAGTAGTGTTTTGTTTTTCTTTTCTTTTTAGCCTATCCATCAACCATAAATTACTTGCTATGGACAAGGCATCAGAGAAGAGGGAAATAGCGGGGTAAAAATAGGTTCTGTGCATTATTGTTTCGATACTCTTACTTAGTATCATCCAAAAATTTGATGCAATTCCAGAGTCTTTCTGGTGCTTAAGTTTTATTAGGTTCTAGTAAATGTCGCTTCTTTTAAAAAACTTAGTAAAATGATAAGAACATTGTGGAAAATATGAACAAAATCAAACAACTTCTGGTGGTAGAGGTGTTCTCTTACATTACCTTTTCTTCGACAGTATTTTCTCCTAGATTGGTTCATAAGAAAATAAGGAGTCTGCAATAGGCCGGTTGGCCTGTGCATGTCAGCTCCTGCCGAGTTACTACCACTCTCTTTCGTCCATGAATCTATCTAGCCTCCTTTTAAAACTCTCCAGCATTCCAACATTTACTACAAAGTTGCAAAGCTTGTTCCACTCGTCTACCACCCTATTTGTGAACCAGTTCCTTCCTATCTCCCTCCTAAACCTAAACTTATCCAACTTAAATCCATTGCTACGAGTCCTATCCTGCTCGGATATTATAAGAACTTCATCTATATCTCCTTTATTGATTCCTTTCACCCACTTAAATATTTCTATCACATCTCCCCGCACTCTTCGTCCTTCTAGGGAATGCAAGTTTAGTTTCTTTAATTTATCTTCAAATGGAAGTTTCCAAGTCCCGGAATCATTTTCGTTCATAACTCTATAATCTATTGCCCAGCAATGACTACCTGCACTACCCACCATTAGATATCAAAATGAGAACACAAGGAAAATATATGAATTTATTTCGGCAGTGGATATTATGCCGTGACTGGTAAGTTCCTAACAATATTTTACTGTGATCGAGCTCTGACTGGCTAATCGTCCATTACAGACAAATCACACGAGAACTATATTTGACCGTGACTGGCAGCATTTGGCACTTATTTTGCCATGAGTCAATTGTTGTGTAGCTGTAAACATCCCTAACCATATTTCTGTTGTACATGGAAACGATAAAATTGCAAATTACAGCAACCTAACCTAACCTAACCAAACCTAACTTCTGTGGTTGCTGTTTACTGCAACATTACCACATTTACTTGAACCTAATAAAACCTGACCTAACCAACCAAAGAAACCTACTTAACCTTACCTAACTTCCTAGAAAGTACTTAGCCAATCAGAATGCACTCACGGTAAACTAGCATTAGTAGGAACTTAGCCAGTCACAGCAAAATATCCACTACAAATATTTTTGCTTAATGCTCGACTGTGTTTTTGAAAAACCTTAAAGTTAACGTTTATCCAGATAATAACAAACAGGTAATAAACAACAATACCTGAGGTAAATAACACAAGTAACAGGTAATTTACTATGTGTGTTGTCGCCATCATTTACAGTACGAGTTTTCAAGTTCCTTGGAATAGGGACAATTTTGGCTTCACCTCCACACTGCTAGTTATCTTCTACCGTCCTTAACATGGACCACATCACCCTCACTGATAATTATTAATACACACTAATCTTTTAAATATAATTCAAAAATAATAATAAGAGTGGGTGGTACGTGATACACCATAAACAACTTGAACTGAATGTTTATGTTGTTCCTTGCCAGCCACCACCACCTGGCTCACTACTCCGCTAGATATACAGCATCTCAGAAATTCATTCCTTTTTCAGCCAGTAAAATCTTCATAATTAGTCTCCTTTGGTTCTATCCACGGATAAATAGATAGAAAATCGTCGTACAAGTTCACGTCAATAGATTAGCACGTCCATGGAAAGTGCTGGTATATTATTCAATGGTTACAGTATGAAGGTGTTCAGGCTAAAAGATTCAGTTACAAGGTTATTCCCACAAAGGCCCGTCATTTATTCTCTTTTTGACTTGAAATGCTTAAGATATGTTATTTTAAGAATAAGATAAGTATGCTTTAATTAATATCTTATACATCTTAATTAAATTATCTTACTCATGCTAGTTTTCAGAAAAAAATATTGCAAGTATATAACACTTATTAAAAATCAGAGCAAATTCTGATAACTTCTTTGATTTTTAGAAGGTATTCATTTAAGTAACACCTACAGCTAGGAAATGAGCTGCGGCCCTGCCATATTGCCTTAACCTACAGACAGTTGGGGTTATTGTGAGAGAAAAATCCGTTTTTTTTTTAGTTTAACAAATTTATTGACAGCTTGGAGTACAGTTTGCCTATTCTGTGTAATTCAGTCAGGTCTTGACACTGAGGGTGGTATCACTTCTCACTGCCACACAGGACAGAGGTTCATACACAAAGGAATAAATCATATTCATTAACATTATATATAGGTCAGATTCATGTGGGTTGATGTCGCTGTTCACTGCCACGCAGGACAGAGGTTCATACACAAAGGAATAAATCATATTCATTAACAGCATATATGGGTTAGTCATTTGTTTGAGGTGAGTTTAAGACTTAAAGATGGTATTTACTATTTAAAAGATTCTATATTCCAAATCCAATTTTCGTCAAGAACAGACCCTTATACATATAGACATCTGTGATATAAACGAAAATAAAAAGGAAGTGTAGTATGTCAATGTTATCAGCATATATATTTGTCAAGTATCATAAATACTCTTTACAGAATGTCATAGAAGGTGGCAGAACGACGGAGAAAACACGATTCTGTAAGTAGATAGTGATGTTCGCTGATGGAAATGTTCGCTCTTGTTCGGTGCTACTTTGGGACAGCCACACCTAGGGCGAGTCCAAGTGTGACAGGGGGAGTCTTGCAATCCAAAGAGCAGTTGGTACCCACAAAATGTAGCCATGCTAACATAGATATAGCTCTGTTTCCTTTTGCCATAGAACTTTCTTATTTCGTATGCCATGCCTGATGAAGTACAGTACAGTAGATTAAAGCAGATTGTGTTGTCAGATATACGCTACTTCTTGACATTTCCGCCAGACGTATTGTTGTTAGTTATATTGCATATTATTCGTGAGAATGATGCTCTCTTTGGACTTTACATTCCCTTCAATAAGAAATCAGGTTTATAACGTAAGAAGCTCAGATATCTTTGCATTTGTAGTAATGCCACTCTTGGTGATTTAAATGCAATGTTAAAGTGCTGCAAGTTTGAATACAAGCACATGACAAACTTACTGTGATTCTCGAAACATGATTTAAAATGTTCACCCCTTTTAGAATGTGTAAGATACAGAATGTCAACGATATCTTGATGCTAACCAATAACGTAAGAGCTTTTATTACCTCACGAGTAGGATAAGTAATGAGCTCATTCTTGTGGGTGACCATCCTGAAACACCCACACGCTTCATTATTTGTGTTGCAAATAAAAAGCACAAGGAGAGATGAGATAATTATTGTCAAATTTCATCGCCGTGGTGTCCCCATGCTAAGCACTAAAAATATATGAAGACTGGGAATTTGAACTGATAGAAGTTCTGTGACGTATCAGAAACAGAGGTGGAAATAGCGCCATAGTACTTGAGGCTCGGAATGACTGATCCAAAAGCATCAGTGTATGGTACATCGGGCTGTTTGATAAATTATTTAGCGAACAACATGGTATTTAGCCTAAATACCACTTAAGTAGCAGATATTTTATAATACGTACACATTTACCACTGGCGCTCGAGCTCTGGGCAACGTTTGGGCAACGTTAGGCAACCATACGAAACCCAGAGGAAGGCAGTGTCGACACAGATAGCTCCTTGTGTAAATCTTGAAGATGTCCATATTCCAGGTACAGAGGAATACTTTTATACATACATTTTGGCCACACGAGAACAAATTTACATCAATGAACATCTTATAAGGGATTAAACAAGAAGAGCAGTACCCCACTGTAGAACAAGAGACTCGGTTCATTAAGAACAAGCACGGATAATGAAAAAGACAGAGAATTGTTGTTCAAAAGCTAACAGGGAAAATACAAAAGATGCTGAAAACTCACAACTAAAACCTTAAATCCAATCATTCAGGAATTTTGTGAAGAATTAATCGAACACCAATCTTGACATAGCACATTCAGTGACACAGGAAGAAGGAAATAAATCAACTATAAGTGAAACAAACCAAGTGAAGGGAAATGTCTTGTCGCAGGTTTCCTCAGGTTCATTCAAGGTGGAGAAATATTAAGTTGCACTGTGGAACTGTACCAAGACTTCACAGACTAAACCATACAATTCAAGGACAAGATCATGTCAACCAAGCCCCAAGTTTTAAAGCACTGCATCCGAGGCTACTGAGAAGAGGTGCACAGTATAATATACGCCAAGGTATAAAGATCTTATACCTTCATATTTTTACCTTAAAGTAGGGTTGACTTTTTTATATTTCATTTAGTTGTCCTTGGGATGTGGTTACATGCAACTTAAGGCGATCAAAAACAATGGGAATTACCTAACAATGTGTAAGGAGCTTGCCAGAATTATATCTATTATATTGAGTATAAGTAGGCGGCGATAATTTGGTTACCATATATGTTTGGTAGTGAGGGTCACAGTCACACTGGATGACACCCGTCCTACGAGTGTCTTAGGCCAGACTCGAACCCATGACTGATATATATTTCTTGCCCATGACAGGTGACATACAGTATGTGAGTTACCGTTGTGTGATGATTTATCATATTAGGATCACATGTTAAATTTGGTACATTTCGCTAGAGCTGATTTATTTGAGACATTTCCTTATGTATAAGGAAATACATATAGCTTTAGATTCTCAATTCTGTTGTCTATACACCTACTGAACTGCCTGGTTACCTGCTGATTGTATTATTATTATTATATAATAATAATATACAGTACATGCCAATTGTAAACCTGCATGACAATTTTGCTCGATTATTATTATTATTATTATTATTATTATTATTATTATTATTATTATTATTATTATTATTATTATTATTATTATTATTATTATTATTATTGTTATTATTATTATTATTATTATTATTATTATTATTATTATTATTATTATTATTATTATTATTATTATTATTATTATTATTATTATTATTATTATTATTATTATTATTACTCAGGGCAAAACACAGCACTGCATAATACTTCAGCTGTACTGCCGATTTAAATACCCGGTACTTCAGTACGATTGATTTATGTGATCAAAATTCAACAAACTTTTGAAATATTATGTTAAACCTGCAGATTGAGTTATTATAATAACATATATAATTCACACCGTGAGATGTTAGCTAAATCGTGCGGAAAAAAGGTCGCGATAATTGTAATTTCAGTTGGACAAACAGCTGTTGCGAGAGGCTCAGCTGTATCTTTGCCAAACTTCTGATAAACTCCTAAAATGATTACTGTTTATAGATACTTTAGACAAAATTTTATGTATGAAATAGTTGATTTATGCTTTATATGTAAATACGTTCTGAAAATGTGCCTTCAATATATTTTTATTTTGGGTTTCTGATGCGAAACGTGGCACCAATGCACAACCAAGACCAGTATGCGTTGGTGTCACAGCACAAGTCTTGAAAATATTAACATCAATTATAAGGTTATCGAATCTGTGGATTAGATTCATATGGTTAAGAAATATTGATATATATGTATATTACATTTTGATTCATGCATTTTAGATTCACCTTTCAGGGATGATGAGTAGAATTTTGGAATAGATACGTTGATTTTTGAGATTATTTTTATATTGTAGGCCAGAATGCTTTACAAACACTTATTTTAAAAGGGAGTATCTAATAAAAAAATCACATTGAGGGTCAAATTTGGCTAATTAAGGTAATATACACCAGGAATGCGAGATGTGGCACCACTGAAAAATCGCCACGCCTGGTCTTGTCTCATTTGCTGGAGCTCTGAGGCTCTTTTATTGGTAACTTCTTCCATGTACAACAATGATTCGTTTCCCACAACCTTTACATAAAACATTTAATCAAGACTACTAAGTTAACTACACTCCATATGATGCATGAGAGATAAGGATATATTTTTTTATGTGTCTGTATGGTAGAAAGATGATGTTAGTTTGATGTAAGGGGGGGATATAGGTAATAAAGTGAACGGGAAGTATTGCCAGGTGAGTGAAGTGTGGTGGAGTGTGGTGGTTAGGGAGGCCTGGTTGGACCAATGCGGTGCGGCGGAGAGAGGCTCGGCGTTCATTGGTGTCGCACTACCAATCATCGGAAACTGCTCACTAATACCCAATGTAAGTCCACAAATTATACTCTATTGCTTCTTCCCGCTCACGTTTGATTGGGATTGGACATCAGTGTTAGAAGAGCCGAGATTAAGGGAAGGAGATTGACGTGAGGATAATGTCTAGACGTCATCTACATTTACCAGACAAAGAAAAGGAAGCCATGTTGAGGTGTAAGTTTATGTGAGATGAGGTGGAGTGCGCGGGTTTTTTTCCTTCACCTGTGTTTACATGGATCACCTGTAACTGATAGTATTAGTGGTATTCCTTGTAAATTGGAGTGAATCCTTAAGTTTACACGCATATTTCACCATCTGTTTTACATCTCAGGATAAAGTACGTGTATGTGGTTTAGTTGTTTAAAATTTTACAATGCTTCTATGTAAAGATTGGATGTGAAATGAATGTTTAGTTGAGATCCCGGTGTTGTGGATGAGTGTTTAAGTCTAAGAAAACCAGTGGAATTTCGGAAATATATGTCTTCTGAATGCTATCTTCGTCTGGTCTTGGTTAAATTGACATATACTGTGCACTACCAATGGGAAATTGTGTGGCGATTTATACTGAGTAAATATCTTTATCTGTTGCAGTGGACGTGAGTGTCCAGTGATACAGAAATGTCTGAGAACCTTAGGTAATCATTGTTTATGAACCTTGGATAATTTTCCTGCATTCTATAGTAGTGTTGAAGGAGGAAAAGGTAACCCCCCCCCCTGCTTGAACATTGGTACAGTTCTGGTCATTGTTAATTTATTTATGTATGGTATATTTAGTCTGTGGTACATGGAACTTATGGTAGAACTTAAACTGTGGCTAATAATAAAATAATAATAATAATTAACGGTTTATTGAAAGCTTGGCAGCCAGAAGGCTGAAAATATACAGTTACATATTTGGGGAATGGGTTTCGAATTACAAATAATATACAAGTAACATAAGTGACACAAATAAGACATATAATAACTATATGGGGAAAAGCTCAAACTACAGTTCATTTCAACATAGTGACAGTGCAAGAAGTAGTGTTTACTGGGAGTGAATACACTGATTTATTACAAGTTATTGATAATTTTTACAATGGTTGGGACTGGGCTGTTCTTATAGCGATCAGTTCGTGCACGTATGGGCTGGATGCGGTTGTGGTGTCGAACAGCAATTCGCGGACGAGGGATCTCAGGTGGTAGTAGGAGCCGGTGTCGAGGATGGTGTAGAAGCTTCTTACCAAATTTGCAGATGAGGTCGTGGTGATGGTCAGTGAGAGTCGAAAGGGTCAGTGTGTTGAGCGCTTCTTGATATGTGGAGTAGGAAGGGAGAGAATAATCTTGCATGCCCTCTTTTGCACTTTTTCTAGGTGTTTACGTTGTGTGGCATTTAGGGAGGAAGACCAGGTGGGGGAGGCATAGGTGAGCTTGGGAAGTATGAATGTTGTGTAAACACTGAGGAGCTCGTGTGCAGGAACTCCGAGGGACTTGAGTCGGCGGAGGAGGTGGAGACGGAAACTGGAGGATTTGACAACTTCACTGACGTGTGGTTTCCAATTTAGTTTGGCTATAGACACGCGTCCTGTTCTAAAGTTGGTTAATATTCGTTTTTATCCCAAATTGGTATCTCTGAATTTTTACCAGTATAACTATGAATCTTTTTTTTTTTTTTAGCTAAGTATTGATTTTCGGTTAATATATAGGACTAACCTGCCGGTCTGGATAGCACCGATGCGGCCATATCATCTCGCGTCTAGAAATGTCTCAAATTTGACCATATCATAGTAAGTTCTTTCTGTTTAATATACCGGGGAAGTTAGGTTAGGTTAGGTAGGTTGTAGTGGATACTCTCCCCTACAATTGCTGACTGGTCACTTGCCGTCCGCTTACCAGCCAACCAGCGGCGAGTTCCACAAAGAAGACATACATTATGCTACAAGGTTTGTTTGGTTTGGTTGGTAAGGTTGTTTTTCATAACCACAAATGTTAAGTAGCGTTTATTTTAAAAATATCTGTTTTAACATATTTCCACAAACTACAGCAGTGTCCACTATAATATAACAATGAAAATCCGGAGTCTTTATTAATTTTCAATAAATTTCGCCCGTGGGGTAGTCCTATAATTACCCGATTTTCTAATATGACAATAGTAGGTTGTGTTGCCCGATTAATATACGTTTTTATCCCCATAATGGTATTTGTTAACTTTAGTCCTATAATTCTTTACCATAAATCTGGCAACATAAGTGAAATCTACAAAAAATTCTAAGACAATTTTCTTCCATGATATTTACGTCACAAATGCATAATAAAGATGATATAATGCCCAAAAGTTTTGGTTAGGAAATTAACCTTGACATGTCGCTATTATCAGTTGACGCGCTGTCATCTTCAGAAATCCAGTTACACACATTCAAAATACAGGGTACAGCAAAACACGGGAAAAAATATATATGAGTCGCTAGAAGATTACAGGACTAAAAGTAACATTTACCGAAAGTGTTTTGGTTAGGATGCATATTTTAGTGACCTGGGCCAACCAGGTTAGGATGCATATTTTAGTGATGAAAAATATATTTTTCCTATGTATTTTGCTGTGTTTTGAATGAATTTTTACTTCAAAACTGGTGCAAATCACTTGTTTTTGAGTTCCCCCCACCCAAAGCTCTCGGTTTCCATGGGTCCCCATTATTGTTGAGGGTAGAGGGGGGCAAAACTCAAATTTTTTTGATCTGCAAAAGTTTTGAAGGTCAGATTCATTCAAAACACAGCAAAATACATAGGAAAAGTATATTTTTGAGTAGCTAGAAGATTGTAGGACTAAAAGTATTATTTACCCCTATAATATTTTACCCTAAAGTTTTCTAGAGAGCTGGATGTTAAAGAGAGTGAACAACAGAAAAAAAAACCTACACTTGAGGCTGAATCAGTTCATGTGCCTAATTCATCATAGGAGGGGTTATGGCCTTGTTAACATTGTCACAATGTCAAGTTAAAATGTTGGTAGATAAAAGTATTCAGAATAAGGTAATCGTGGAGGAGATGGCTAACACTAGAAGGCATTGTTCAATTTTGTTAATTTTTTTCTACAGCTGTTCCTATCATTATAGTAAGTACCCACCCTGTATTTTAAAAGAGGCAACATTTAATAGAACCTAATAGAATCTGACCGAACCAACTAAAGAAACCTACCTAACCTTACCTTATTTCCTGCCATATTAAACAAAGTAATTATTATGGGATCTGGTACCAATGAAAGCAACTTTGTTGAAGTGTCATGGAGTATTTTTTTATTTTTATTTTTTGGACGTGATGGTACACTCGGCCCCAGCGGGTTGGCTGTAAACAAACTGAGCAGATGACAACACGCACTGACTCGGCAGATTTTGGAGGAGTATATACAGTAAATAATTAATTTCTTTGTGCACAAAGCACAGAGGCATCATTTAGTGTCATTTGGTCAGTATTTCCACTGTTTTATTCTGTAATTTCCCTCATTCTTCATACCCAGCCCACTACAGGGCACCTGGGGCATACCAACGGTAAGGAGGCGTATCATATTTCCCAGCGGGATGAAGAAACTGCACTAGTTGAGACTGTGTGTGAGAAGGACCTAGGTGTGTATGTTGACAATGAGCTGAAGTTCTTGGGCCATTGTGAGAAGAAGGTAAATCAGGCAAATAAATTACTGGGTCTTATAAGAAGGTCGTTCAGATATCTAGACGGTCAGTCCCTCGTAACGATCTTCAGGAGTGATGTGCTTCCCCATCTGGAGTACTGTCACCCCATCTGGTCCCCGAGATATGCTAGGGACTGTAAGTTGGTTGAAAATGTTCAAAGGAGGGCCACCAGACTGGTGCCTGCACTTCGGCACCTCAGCTACCCTGAGAGATTGGAGCGCCTGAACTTGCCAAGCTTATACGACAGACGGTCAAGGGGGGACCTAGTTGAGGTGTATAAGCATCTCAGGGGGCACTACTCAGTTGAGTGTCCTTACTTGGAGCTGGCAGACGCTCGCCCCACAAGGGGTCACAGCTCAAGATTGAAGAAGCCTCAAGTCCAGAAAACCGTGAGGGCAAACTTTTTTGGAGTGAGGGTTGTAAACTCTTGGAGCAATCTACCAGAGAGTGTTGTGACGGCACCGAGTGTGAGCTCTTTCAAGATAAGACTTGACCAACACTGGAGCGGATTCAGGTATATTTAGGAGCCGGTGCATGCCCAGTATTTGCCAACAGTGCGTGACAGAGACATGACCGATCGCCCGGGGGGCTAGCGAGCCGATCTTTTGGTGAAGAAGATAAATGAAAAGGAAAAGTAATCAGAGACGTGACCGATCGCCCAAGCGGCTAACAAGCCGATCATTGGCGAAGAGGATAAAAGTAAAAGTAAAACAGGTGTTTTATAATCGTAGGTAGTGAAAAACTAAAAAAAAAAGTCTTAAAATAAAAATAAAATAGTTGCTTCTTTAAAACACTTATAATGATGATAACATCTGTGTAAAAAATGAATGAAATCAAACAACTCCTTTTGGTGTTGGCCATCTCCTGTATTACCCAGAATAATTTTTTTTTTTTCAAAATTTTTTTAGTAATGTATAGAGTACAAATGCTTTTGGTGAGAGAGAAAAAACAACTAAAAATACTTTGAAGGGAATGTCATATTTTAGCAGGAATGAGCCCTTGAGTGATGCTGAACTGTAGTGTTTTGCCCAATGGTTTTACATCACAGACATACAGTATTTAAAGTAAATGTATCCAAATGTAAAGGAAATAATGTACACAAATAAAATGTGAGTTAGAATTATTTTACCATAAAAAAGAAACATGAACATTTGATATAAAATCCGTGTTATTACAGCTTAGACCAAATAAAAACGGCCATGATAGAGTACATGGGGGGGTAACGTACTGCATCCTCACTCGGCTCTGGCTAATGTTATCAGAACACTTATTTCCTCACTTTCCACTTAAAAGTTGTCCTCAGCCTCTGAATATTCTCCACTACCATTATAACCTCCATCAAACAACATTGGCATTTACTGTCTATTGAGTTAATGTTTGGTGATGTTGAAGTGGTGTTAAAGGGCATCTATTGGCAATGCAGGAAACAAAACTTTTACAGATGGTTGCCTCTCCTAACGGCTAACTTCCACCAGTAATGACCACCATTTGAGGGTTAAAACAGGCTGAATGAACCAGCTTGAAACTTCTCTTAAGTATTCCAAGATTTTTAGGTTAGGTTTCATTTTGTTGGATCGTTTTGCACTTTAAAAGAACTGTGCGATAAGACATAAATTCACACATAGTTTTCACATTGATATTGGTACAAAACCTCATATTTCAGAGTAGACATACCGGTGATAAGATTTGAACATAAGAGTAGTTTCTTCATTGATTACTGCTCATATGACACCTGATTAGAGTATGAACAACTTTTCTACCATAAAAAATTCACGAGGCAGTAGTTTTGGTGGGTAAGTGTGAAATACAGTAACTTATTACTATGAGAAGTTTGGTATAAATTGTAGCACTTTAGTGGAGTGAAAATTAGCTTTTGTCATTTTTAGTTAATTTTCAATTTTTATTCCCCAGTGATTGTTGAAGACATCAGTGAAGGATATTGGGTCAACAGGGCAGGATGCAGGCCGTCCAGCAGGCTGCAACCCAGGTAAATTCGGCAGTCACAAATTCTTGTATCCTCTCATCTGAACACTGAGGACAAAAAGTAGTACTGTACCATACCCAGAAAGTGGTGGGTGAAGGTTTGTGCAGAAGAGGCAGAAGCAGCATTTTATATTTCTTGGTGTGATGACTAGGGCATATATCTCATAAGTATTATATAGTTCTGCTGCTAGTTTTGGGTTGGATAACATGTTAATTCATTATTCAAAAGACTTGAGCCCTGTGGTTTGTAGGATACTGTACAAGGCTGACTTTCATTACCAAATACTCTGGGTATTTACATCACCAAGAGATGGCATGTGGTTAATTAAGAGGACATACCTTTGTAGGATTTTACTTCCTTAACGTAGTACTGGGCACCAAAGTGTACAGTTAGTTAGCTCCTTTTTAGTGTGAAAAAATGGCGTTAAACTTAACCGTAAGATGGAGTGACTTCGGACACAATTCAGAAAAAGTTAGAGGTAACGGCTCATAGACAGTTACAGCATGCTAAGTTTTCTTGGTATTAAAATGTTGCCCTAACCATGTAGTTTTCATAGTGGCATATCATTTGCTAGTTTAAAGTGCAAGTAATAAATATAAATCAATGATAAAAATAAATTTTTTCCAATAATTTCAAAAGTTGCAAAACTTTCTTTGGCAGGAGTGTACCAGAGTACAGTACATGGAGTAACATAATTGGTGAACAATGTTAGAAACATGTCTATCTTGAAAATTTAGAAACAATTTGGGGTGCTTGGTATATCCTATATGTTTACTGTACAGTGATCCCTCGGTTAACGAGTGCCTCGGTTAACGAGATTTCGGTTCACAATTTACCTTCCATAAGATTCTTAACTTCGGTTAACGAGCAATCCCTCGATTAACGAGTTTTTTACGAGCCGACTTCAACATGTTTTCGCTTGCATTTGGCGGTCCACCAGCTGTAGTATTAGTCCGCCAATACAGTAATTGGTTTTAGGGCTTAAATTCCTTACTGTTTTCAGTGGTGGTAACATCTTGCTTGAGACTCTCTTCAACTAAACGCTTTTTTTCTGTGTTTCCAAGCAAATTATTGGTCATTTTGAAATTTATTTTACATATTGACAATATATAATGCAGTGCAGTGTTGATTTAAAGAAAATAATCTTGAATTGCACCAAGAGAACTAAAATTTTATGGGTGAAATGGCGCCATGAGGTGACTTCTCTTCCACCCCAATGCCTTCTCTTCTCCCTTCTCCACCCCTATTCTAATTCCCATCATCATCATCATCATCATCCAGGAGCCTTCTACATACACACCTCAAAGTAAGTGTACCTTTCTACCTTTTTGTTGAATTTAGGCAATTTTCGGTGAGCTGGAACCAATTACCCAAAAACCCATTGAAACAATGGTTTCGCTTAACGAGTTTTTCGGTTAACGAGCAACCTGCTGGAACGGATTGTGCTCGTTAACCGAGGGACCACTGTATCTGAAAATTTTCATATGACTTGAAAGAATGTACAATATGTGAAAATTATCCGGGGGGGGGGGGCGGGCTTCAGGCAACTCAAAAATGACTTGGAAGGCACAATCCAAATATTATTCACGCATCTTTGCAAGATTGTATTATATAAAACTTGTACGGTGCAGTAATGGCATTATGTATGGTACTAATACTGAAATAATGTTAAACTAATTACTGTTCGGGGGTTAAAACAAGAACATGGTCTCCGGTGCCTGGTTATATTTGTTTTACGGTTTCTCCTAATGTATAATCTTAAAAAATGAGCCCCTGGCAGAACCAAACAGAATTTTATTTTCATGTAATATAATTTTCTTTGAAAAGTTTTCCCTTTTCTTGATTTTACTTCCCCTTTTTGACCTAGACTGTATTGTATATGTAGTTTTGTTGCTGCAGATATTTGCCCAATTTTTTTCTGAGTTCATTGATGTTCATAGCCACCCCCCAGACTGTTCGGCCAGGTTCTAACAGGTACAGCTATTGAATTAACATTGTTGTCTGAAGTCACTCCATCTCTGGGGATGCTTTGGCCACATATAAATCTTCTCTTCACAGAAAAGGTATGATGTCTGCTGAATTTCTGTTGACACATTTGGATTGCTCATTAGTTCAAGCACCAGTAGCATACTTGACATATGCTTCGAACTTAAACTGCCACTTAAAAACCTCAAACTGTACAGTATTAGCTATGTTGACATGAGTGGTTTTAGTGTATTATCATCATGCTAGTATGTTATTATTGACAAATAAATAGTATGTAATGGTGAAAAGAATACTTAATCATTCATATTACTCTTCTTAGAATAAGAGAAAAATACTGTACCCTAAATAAAATTATGGTAAGAGGTGGCTGTTTTTATTTAGAAAGTTTTAATATTTCTGTTAACCTAAGATATTTGTGTATTGACTCATTTTATTGTGCGCATTTACAGATTTTATTTTTTATACTTTCTCATTTTCTTGAAGTGTTCCTCAACAGCAATAAAGTGTATTGATTTAACTTTGGCTAAGAAACCTCAAGAATAGTTTAATACACTGCCATAGAAATTTCTTGGACAAGGTTATTTAATAATTATAAAACAGGTGTTATGTATTGTAGGGTGCGCACATCATTCAAACACCTAGTGGGCAGTTGATGCTGCAGACGGTGGGTGGCTCAGGCTCTATACAGGTGGCACAAGCTGGTGGTACTCAACAACTGCAGCAGCTTCAAGTTGTTCCAGCTTCTGGACTACAGGTAAATTCTTCATGTATCCTACTACTGTACTCTGTTATTAATATTGAATTGAAACTTGTGAATTTGGAAAAACTGTTGTAGAAATTCACTTATTCCTATAATGTGATATTTCAGTATGTACTGTTTATTGCATTGACTTAGATCATCGATTTTCAATTTGTATGTAAAAACAATCCAGCAGGTATGTGGTGTTAGTTTTAGAGGTCTTGTTTTACTATGTGGATTTTATGTGAAGTTGTATGCAAAGTGGTAGGGAAGTAGGCGAGTTGTACAGTAGCTATGTGCTTAAGAAGGTTTCGGCATCATTAACCATAACAAGAGTATGCTGAAATAGATGTACACCTTCAGTTATGTGATTTAATAAGACCATGAATTCCAGTACAGAATATAGAATTCACTATGCTTTTTGTGGAAACTTGCGATTAACATAAACTGTCCATCCTTCTGCAAGAATCTAAGTTATCTAAAAGTCATTGCTATTTTGTTAGGTAGATACGTAGTATAAGAACCTCAAAATAAGCAGGGCAATATTGGGGAGACTGCTGCAAGATAAATGTAATAAGTGATAGGGAAGGGCTAAACCAGCTTATGGAAATATGTGCATATATTTCCTCATATCTTAAACTTTTATTTTTTAGGGAACCAATCATGTTGTTAGTGTTCCTGCTGGGTCATCACAACAAGCACAGATAATCCAGACTTCAGATGGTCAGGCCCTGGTCTATCCAATTCAATTGGATAGTCAGGGAAACGTAATTCAACAGCAGCCAACAGGTGAGATTTCACTGAAATTTCCTGCCTTTGACTGATATAAATTAGGATATTGCCATATGTTGTCATACAGATGTATTTTTTATCTCTGTGCTATGTGAAATTTCCCATCAGAAACAGAGTGGCTCAAGCAGTCTCAGCTAAGCCTAACAGCCTCCAGCCATTGTAGCACAAGAACTTATAGATACATGTATAGCCTTCTTGTAAAGACTGTAATTTCAGTTGGGTTTTCCATCTCTTGGTTCGTTTGTCTATACTGTTTACCTCTCCCATCACTGCCTCCAAATTTTAATGTAATTGAAATCACCTCAGTTTTATTGAACATTACTTCCTCCACTTGCATGGGTGCTGCTTTTCCACCATCAAAATAAGGATTTTCATTAATTATTTACAGGTGGGACAGAAATTATCCGAGTCTGAGCTTGGCATTCTCATTATGTCCAGTAACAATGGGCTAAACTATGAAATTAATAGCATCAGGGCCAAATATAAAATTTATGTAACACCTGCATGGCAGGTGTTTTAATTTTTAAGTTATATCGGTAGGTAACACTGGTAGGCCTGAAACCTTGGTGGTACAGGTTGTACCTCTCTAGTCCGGCATTCTGTGGTCCGAAACGATTTTAGTTTGTCCAATAGGTAGATAGGCAGCTTTTTTTTTTTTTTTTTTACTTATCTGAATTATTATTATTATTACAGGAGTATTAAATTTTTGCCCCTCAGGCCCCAATGTGGGTTAGTGACTTATGCCCGGGTGGGCTAATCCCCTTAAAAAAAAAAAAAAAAGGAAATTAAGGTTTGTTTACGTCCGGCAGTTCGGCTGCTCTCTCTCTCTGCTTGTCTATACAGAGTACAACATTTAACCCTTCAATATATATGAGCAGTAAATAAGTGTTGCTTTCATATTCTTATGTAGAGTAATGACGATATGTTTTCACATGTGCGCACTTACATACGCACAGTCTCACTTTTTTTTTTAACCATTAATGGTTAGCTACTTATATTGTTCCATTTATTAACATTAAATAACATTACAGGTACTTCAAACAACCATATTAATTTTTTTACATTAATTTTACTACAGCTAAAATCAGGGTCTTATTTTCTTCAGTTTTATATGTAGAACCAATCAGTCACTGGTTTTGTAAGCTTTATCATAAACAATGCCGGCAGCCGTCTCGTCTCCTCTAATATTCCACGTATTATTAATAAATTGTATTGTTAATTTTGCACACACAAACATTAATTCAATAAAAAGAAATTCAGAAACATTAATTAAAATATATATGAACAGTAAATAAGTGTTGCTTTCATATTCTTATGTAAAGTAATGACGATATGTTTTCACGTGTGCGCATGCACACTTGCATACGCGATCTCTCTTTTTTCTTTCCCATTATCGTTAGCTACTTCTATTGTTCCATTTATTTCCATTTATTAACTTTAAATAACATTACTTAAAACAACCATATTAATTTTACTACAGCTACAGCCAAGGTCTTATTTTCTTCAGTTTTATATGTAGAACCAGTCAGTCACTGGTTTTGTAATCAACGAAAACAATGTTGTGTCATTTACTCGTGTGTTTTAATATTCTACGTATTATTAATGAATTGTATTGCTCATTTTGCACACATAACATTAATTCAATAAAAAAGACATTCTGTAATAAACAATAATGAATCTTTTGTACATAAGAGAAATGACACTGTTTACACGATTATGCCCGTCATCTGCACGTTGGCGGGCCGTTCAAACCCGTCGAAATTCAAGTTTCCGCCGTCAAAATTTTTATTTATTTATTTTTTTGTGTGTTCCAATAAAATACGTTAAGAATTAAAAACTCGTGAAATTTGAGAAGCTACTATACGACATTTAACCCTTCAATATGTCTTCAAAGAGACCATGATGCAGAGAAAGTGGTGCTAGTGCTTCCAAGCATAAGCACAAGTCACTATCTATCCAGGAAAAGGGTGAATTTCCATGGTCCGGCACCGGTCAGGTCTCGAGGTTGCCGGACTAGAGAGGTACAACCTGTAGTTCGAAGTTATGGGTGCTTCATGTGTTGTAAATTATGGAATTAAATATTTTTGTAAAAAAATATGTTTGACACCAGCATCCATGCACACATTATCAACCTGGTGTGTTTGCCTCATGACATCAGAGAGTAAATATGCATCACGATTCCATTCTCATCTCCACCTCTTTTTTAAAATCTGGGATCCTTTTTGAAGTGAATGCCTGTGGTGTAGGATTATTTATTTATATAGTTGTAGGATAACTATACTTGGTAGAGGCCCTGCTCGAGTCACTCTGTTAAGAATGGGGAAAACATTTTGAATACTGTATATAATTTGGAAATGTTAGTGATATCCCCATTAGCCAGAATACTGTAATTGATGCACAGCTCTTCCAGGAATAAGAGATTTCCTGGTAATGACACAAATTTCTCATCCCTGGAAATTTTCTGGATTCTGTGCTGGGAAAAGTTTTCCGAGAGTCTAAATTATGCATCTTGCACGCAAATAGACACTATTGCCCACCCCCGGAATGTTTTGGGTCCTGGTGAAAGTTTTTAGAGAATCTAAACTGCGTATCTCGCACGGACAAACACTCCCAATACAGTTAGGTTGAAGTCACGAGTGAAAATATTTATGGTTAGCAAAAAAGTGTATAAACTTTTATTCACAGAGTGTTTTAATTGTGTTAAGCGAAATGAATTTGGTACCATAATGGTCCTTAATAAAAAAATATACAAGACTGATTCAATAAAAGATCATTAAACAAAATATTTTAACACTATAATGATTGACTATATAATGATTGACTCCATTCCTTTCCAGAAAACATAAGAAATGTCTATAAAATTAGTTTTAGCTCGCCTAGAAACACCATTTTTTTGCTAAAATAAATCCTGAAAAAAAAAAAGTTTTTTTTTTTTTTTCCAGGATTTATTTTAGCAGGGAAAAGGGAAACAATGGAGTACCTTAGCTTTCGTATTTATTCTAGCCATCTTCAGAGGCAACTGAATTACATGGGCGGAGAGAGGCTTAGGTACACAGGGTGACCTTACTAAACCTGATATCAGGTTATAATCATGATGTCCACTAATCCGCACACCAACACCACCACACACGCAGAGGAGCTTAAGAGAAAGGGCGACGTGACTAGTAAAGTTAAGTCAGGTAAAAAATATGGGACCCACTAATCATCCATCCTACTTCTAACTCCAAGGCTTTCAAAGCATTTTTAACCTTGGAACCTATGTCGTGTTATATTGACGTTCTACTGTAGTTAACTGTAATCACTTTTTATGTCTCAACACTTGTGATGAAGGTGGAGTGGGGGATTAATGGGTCTCATATTACTAATCTGACCTAATGCATTGTCAGGTCACCCATTGTATATAAGCTCTTTCATTTGTGGTGGAGGTGGGGTGGGGGATTAGTGTGTCATGTTATTTACCTGACCTGAAGATGTTCTGAATAAAGACAAAGCTAAGGTGCCCTAGTGTTTCCCCTTTCCTTTACATATGGTACTTTCACACTTAATGAATGTACAGTATACATGACTATTATCACTGTTTACATCTGAACATTGTATTTTTGGCTGATTGTGTTTTGGTACAGTAATGCACAACACAAATTGTATGCAAAAACAGCAACTAGTGAGGGAACAACTCTTACAATGGCAGCAGAATATGAATAAAGTGCGCAAGTTACCTGTCCAGTTAGCTCACCTATGCGTCTGAAACATAGGGATGTGTAAGAGCTTGATGCAAGCTCTTGGAACTACCGGAATATTTGTTCCCATGACCAGAATGGAGAAGTTTGCCGAGAATTTCTCAAAATTTTTACGGAAAATGCATCTGCTTTTTATCTTGGAAACTTCCCATTCCTAGAATTTTTCCTGCACAATTTCTTTTCCAGCTATTGGAGAGTTCTGGGAACTGGGGATTTTGGCTAATTGGGAAATAACTGCATTCTTTTTCTTAGTGGAAGGAATAATGTGTATTGATTTTATTAAGTAAATCGTACACTAATCTTAGTTTTGTGTGTGAAGTTCTGAATGTTTCAGGTAACTTAATCCAGTTAGCAAGTTCTCAAGGTGGGACTGTACCACAGAACCAGAGTCAAACAGCCCAGCAGACAACACAGACAGTACAGACTAATCTTGCAAATGTTGTCATGGTAAGTTTGATTATGTACCTTCATTGTTGGAATAAGATGCTTGTCATACAGGGATTGATTTGTTTTTTTACTATTGTTCTGTTTCAGGATTTCACACTGCTGCTTATGTTCAGGGATACAGGATCACTGGCTAGTAGAGTTAGGAGAAAGGAATTGGATGGTAGTGTCAGAATTTTGAAAAGAGATGAGGTAAAACAGTGGAGGAATTGGCCAACAGTGACTGACAGTTGTTTTTCTATCTTTTTTGCTTGTGCATTCAACACACTGCTATTCCAGTAGCTGAAATATGTTTATTGGTAGTGGTGCTTAAATGTAGCAAAAATGAGAAAATTTCAGTAAAAAAAAAATCAGGATATTGTATGAGCGCCATCAAAGGTTCTTACAGGTATCAGTTCAGTGATGAGTTTACTTGTCATAACATGAGATAGGAGTAAGTTGGGTTATAATTGTAGGAAAATGATGACACTTTGAAAGTTTATTTTTAGACATAACAATATTAAGAGTGTGTGAGAATTATGAAATAAGTTAGTGAAATAAATACCGGTAAGTAAATAGCTAATTCTGATAGTGAAAAAGCAGCAATACAGTAATTAAGTATATTTTGATTTATTATATTTTACCTCATAAATTCAGGATTTTTACTTGTAAATCAGTGTTTGATTTTTTCTGTACATTTTCATAAATCAAATCTCATGAATTGTGGCATTTCTGTAATTAACAAACAATATTTCTTGTAAACATATTTAAATTTTTGTTTTGTTTTGGGGAGTACATGAGGGTTTTTTTGTTGCCATGTAGGAAGTATCTTGGATTTTCAGTGACATATCACAGAAATACCCCTCACCACAGTAGTGTTGCCTTGACACCTAGAAAAATTAGTTATTTATTACGGGAATCAGAGCGCGAAGGTGAGATTGCAAAAACTGATAGGTTCGCCAAGTAAATTTGATTATAGCATGTTTGAGAGTTTCCACTATGGTGACACTGATGTACTATTCCCATACGTCTTATCCTTTTATTTTCAAGTAAAATTATTAAATACAATAGACAGTACAGTGGTCCCTCGGCTAACGAGCACAATCTGTTCTAGAAGGTTGCTCGTTAACCGAAAAACTCGTTAACCAAAACCATTGTTTCAATGGGTTTTTGGGTAATTGGTTCCAGCTCACCGAAAATTGCCTAAATTCAACAAAAAAGGTAGAAAAGTACACTTACTTTGAGGTGTGTATGTAGAAGGCTCCTGGATGATGATGATGGGAATTAGAATGGGGGTGGAGAAGGGGGAAGAGAAGGCATTTGGGTGGAAGAGAAGTCACCCCATGGCGCCATTTCACCCATAAAATTTTAGTTCTCTTGGTGCAATTCAAGATTATTTTCTTTAAATCAACACTGCACTGCATTATATATTGTCAATATGTAAAATAAATTTCAAAATGACCAATAATTTGCTTCAAAAACAGAAAAAAAGCATTTAGTTGAAGAGTCTGAAGCAAGATGTTACCTCCACTGAAAAGATACAAAGACTGACGCCTGTATGGTGTGTTGAGAGGCTGGATGGCGTGCATAAAACTAGTTTAATTACCTTCAATTATGTTCAATAATTGTTAAAATGAGTAAAAAATTTAATATTAAACTTTTAAAATTATTGAATAGTATAAACTTCTTGATATTTGCTAAAATGGTAAGGAATTTAAGCCCTAGAACCGATTACTGTATTGGCAGACTAATACTACAGCTGGTGGACCGCCAAATGCAAGCGAAATCATGTTCAGGTTGGCTCTTAAGAAACTCGTTAATCGAGGGATTGCTCGTTAACCGAAGTTAAGAATCTTATGGAAGGTAACTTGTTAACCGAAATCTCGTTAACCGAGGCGCTCGTTAACCGAGGGACCACTGTACAGTAAAGCCTCGAATAGCGACGGTAATGTGGTCCTCCAATATTGCAGTGTAAAGTGAATCATCGCATCGCAAATCATTAATTACCATTAAAATTAAGCAATAATAATGAGATGCATTCCCTGTGTGACCTTTTCATTTCTTTTGTGTGGCTTTGTACCCTCTTTTCCCCCCAAAACAATACAACTAATGAAAATTGAAAACTCTATTCTTTAAATAATGTTTCTGAATGCACCTTATACAATATAAATGAATAATAATATGGTCACACATTAGAGGAGATGTGACACTATTGTTTTCGTTTGTGTTTACAGCCGGGAGTCCGGGACGATAGTTCTACACGAGAAAATGAGACCCTGGTTGTAGCTTAAGTAAAATTACTGTAAAAAAAATGAATATATGTTTTAGGTAATGTTATTTAATGTTATTAAATGGAACAATAGAAGTAGCTTACCACTAATGGTAAAGAATAAAAGTGAGATGGATTGGGAACGCCAACATATATGTACGCATTTAAGGATACCGCATCATTTATCTTTTTAAGAATATGTACAAAAGATTCATTATTGTTTATTACTAAATATGTATTTGATTGAATTAATCTTTATATATGCAAAATGAACAATGCAATTCATTAATAACACGTAGAATATTAAAACACACACGAGGATAAGAGACGGCATTGTTGTCAGTGTTTACACCCGTAATGTCAGTTATCCACCTGAAACTGAAAAAAAATAAGATCCTGATTGTTGTTATAGTAAAATCGATATAAAACATATGTATATTTTAATTAAGGTTGTATAATGTACAGTCGAAGTAACCACTGATATTAAAGAAAAAAGTGAGACATAGTGGAACGCCAATGTATACGTGCGCACTCAACGAAACATGTCATTTATCTTAAGAATATGTACAAAAGAATCATTATTGTTCATTACTGAATATGTATGTGATTGAATTAATGTTTATATATGTGAAATGAACAATGCAATTCATTAATAATAAGTAGAATATTAAAACGCACGCGAGGAGACAAGACGGCATTGTTTTCGTGAGTGACGATGGTTCTACATAAGAAACTGATGAATAAGACCCTGGTTGTAGCTGTAGTGAACTTAATGTAAAAATATTTAATGCCTGTATGTATGTTTTAAGTAATGTTATTTAATGTTAATAAATGGAACACTAGAAGTATCTAACCACTAATGGTAAAAATATAAAGCGAGACGATTGGGAACACCAACGTATGTACAGTAAGTGTGTACATGTGAAAACATATCGTCATTTCTCTACATATGAAAATGAAAGCAACACTTATTTACTGTTCATATACGTTTTAAATAATATTTATGAATTTTAAACAAAAATTCTACTCGCCAATGGTGGTAAAGTCTAAAACATAAGGACAGCCAATGAATATTGTGAGAGTTTTTACTCAGATGGCGAAATCATCAGGTTCAACTCTGGCTGAAGCTATAGCTTTTCATAAAGCTGTTGCTGAAAGTGTAACTGAACCTGAAGCTGTTGTTGAAACTGCTTATGATGCTGAATTTGATGGTGTAGCTGAAGTTGATGGTTTAGGCCTTCAAATAATAAAGCTATCGAAAGAACCTTGCTCAGCTGCATTCTTTTCTCATTATACATCTTTATGCAAAGGTCATTTGCATTTATATAAATTTTAATGCTTTGTTCTGTTAATGGATCCACTTCAGAAAATATGTTCATTGCTTACTCCCTATAATATCCATAGACCTCTCACCTTTTTCATATCGTTTTTACACATCTTGTTTCTCGGCTAAGCTTATACACTTTCTATTGGCTTTTGCAACAACACTACCATCACTTGCTCTCTTGTCCATGTTGAATAGTGTTGCAAGAATGCTGTAAGAAACCGGAGAAAGTTTTTCTCCTTTTCCTGTTCAGATGCGTGAAAACAAGGGCCCGCCAGCTGCGATTGTTTATACGTACTAGTGATGCTGGCGTCACCACTAACAAGCCTGGCAGCCTCCGTGCACAAGGCGTGTTTTTTTTTAATCAGGATTTAGTTATTATTTATACGAAAATGTAATACCTGTGTATATTTTTTTATTTTGTCGTAAATACGAAGAAAATAATGGCGTAAATTTAATTTGGTCCTAAATTAACCAGGGTCTTAGATATGAATCTTCGTTAGTTGAACCGTTGTTATCGGAGGCTTTACTGTACTATTTTTTCTATTATTGAAGCTGTTATAATATTTATGATGAATCATACACCATCAGAGTGGGCATTTGCCAGTATCTATCAGTCAATTGATCCACAGCAATTTGGCATTATGAGGACCTCCTCTACATCACACTGCTTGGTGAGCTTTCTGGATTTTCTGCACAGAAACTTGCAGAAACGTAAGACATCACTGGCCGTTGCCCTTGTGGACTTCAGGAAGGCCTTTGACCTTGTTGATCACTGCACTGTTATCAACAAGGCTATTGCACTAGGGCTGCCCACCAACCTAGTCTCATGGCTCACTGATTTCTTGAGTGGACGTCGCCAGGCAGTGAGGTATCAGGGCTTGGTCTCCACATTCCAACACCTCACCTGCGGTGTTCCCCAGGGGACCAAGATGGGACCACTGTGCTTCCTCATCCTGATCAACGACGCTCTATCGGACACTCCTCACAGGTGGAAGTATGTGGATGACTGCACTGTGGGAGTTTCAGTGGACAACACCGCACCAGACTACTCATCGCTACAAGGCACCCTGGACAGGCTACAGGCATGGACCACGGAGAACAAGGTCACCATCAACCACACCAAAACCGTAGTCATGCACATCAATACCGCCACCACTCCAGTGCAAGCCCCAGCAGTCACAGTGGGTGCCCATCCTCTCCAGCTGGTGCAGTCTGCCAAACTCCTGGGTGTAACCATAGACAACAAACTTGACTGGAAGGCCCATGTAAATAACACAGTCAAGGCAGCCTCGTATCGTCTCTACATGCTACGACTTAGGTCACTTGGGACACCCACGCCAGAGCTGAGGACATTCTACAACGCCTTTATTCTCCCCAAACTAACGTATGCGTCACCAGCCTGGTCGTCTTCTCTCAACTCCACCCAACAACGTCAGCTAGAGAAGGTACAGAAAAGGGCCTGCAGAATCATGCTCGGCGCAGAATACTCCGGCTACACCAACGCTCTCTCCACCCTGGAAATGCCATCCCTCAGTGACCTCAACCACCAAGCACTGGAAAGGTTTGGCAGTGGACAACTGCACCACCCTCGTCATCGCCGCCTCCTGCCACCTGCAGCCCCCCACCCAACTCGCGCAGTCCGCCACTACAACAAAATTCAGCCCATAAGAGCCCGCACTGATAGATATAAGAACAGCACCATCCCATCTATTGTTAAAATAATAAACAACTCCTGATTTATGTACTGTACAGCCCTGTAAATGTATTCAATGCATATAATATCATTGTCTAAATCAAATGTAAGTCTGTATATTTTCAGCCACCGGCTGCAACTCTATTAATAAACCGTTTATTATTATTATTATTATTATTATTATTATTATTATTATTATTATTATTATATGAGAATATAACGATGAATCTATAAATAAACAGGTCCAAAGCTAGAGCTCGTGACATTGTCCAAGTCATTAGGCCTACTGTCCAGGAAATCTGAAAATTGCATGACACCCACTTTTTTAAACCGCCATCTTTACCATCAGAGCAAATTTTCTGTGCAAAAAGCTCCCTGCTGTTTAGGGTTAAGCTTATGGCTATACTATGTTAGTGTTGCAGGGGTAGTGATTGTGTGTGGAACGGGAAGAGTGTTTGGATGGAGGCTTGACCACCTAAAAAAATAAAATGAAGGTATGTTAAAAAAAAGATAACAATGTTCAACAGTTAATTGCCTTAGTACAATAGACTAAGATGGTCTTTATTTATTTATTTATTAATTTAATCAATAAAGAATTCACAAGGCAGGAAAATCATGTCAAAACATGATGCAAGTGTTTACAAGGGATAAATGAAATGCAGAGACTTGAAACTTTTTGTTCTTGTAAACTTGAATTTCATAATGAAATCTTTGTTCTTAAGTGAATAAGTATGAATTAAATGTTTTAGGTTGGGAATGGAGGTGTGGCACAACTACAGCGAATACCACTTCCTGGTCCTGAACTACTGGAAGAAGAGCCCCTATATGTTAATGCTAAGCAGTACCACAGAATTCTTAAAAGACGTCAAGCCAGAGCAAAGTTAGAGGGTGAAGGCCGAATACCTAAGGAACGAAAAGTAAATACAGTGTTAAGTTTTGATTTTTATCAGATTGTGGAGTGAAATTGTTAATTATGATTCACTTTCTCGTCTACTGCATGAAGTTAAAAAAAATCATTATTGTCTTACACAGAAGTACCTTCATGAATCCAGACATCGGCATGCCATGAATAGAGTAAGAGGAGAAGGGGGACGCTTCCATAAAGGACAGTAAGTGTGCTTGCTTGAACTTAATTTGATAATGTGGACTTTGGAGCTGATACAAGTTTAATTAGGAAACTTGCTTCATTACCGTGTATAACCCTTTATTTAGTCATTGAAATGTTGTTTTGATTCAGCAAAGGTTATTGTATTCTGTAAATGACATCATCTAAGTCAACAATCATACATTTTTATGATTGTGCATGGACTGTAGGTGGTGACCTGGGCATGTGTTAGAATTTATATGACAGATGTGATGGAGTTGGGGGAAAGTTCATTGTTCTTGATTATGGCCATTCTGTACCTGGCAGAAAAAGGCCTCCAAGAGTGGATATGAGGAGACTTAACAAAAATGGAGGAGCAGAAGGTACGGGTACAGAGATGTAAAGAAGGGTGAAAATATGTTTATTTGTGAAAATTTTGTACACATCATTGACTCGGATTGGTGTACGGAGCACTAGAATTTATGGTAACATGCATAAGGATACTAAACATTGGGTTTAAGAGGTCAGATTAGAGGATTTAGCGTCATGTAGGTTAAACCTCAATATTCCCTTGATATGGTTACAGCATGTTTGAATGGCAACATTAGACGTATGCCGTATTGTTTCTGCTGAGGGATGAAACATCATCTGTTTTCAAATTGTTTAAATAAGATGTGGTTGTTATGTAAGGGACATGGCGTAATGGTCATACAGCGCTGAATGGCCTATTGGGGTCAGTGCGCGGCTTTGAGCCTGAATTCCATAAATCAATCAATCTTATTGTTGCTGTACTTATGGCTTCCACTTCTCTGGTTTGTTATTCAGACTTAAATTATTTGATTAGGACTGTACTATTTAAACAGAGAATGCTCCTCTTAAGCAAACAGGCCACAATTATGTCTTGACCCATCACTTCACACTAACTGTATACACTCAAATGAATAGTTTCTTGTTTCATCACTTGATCTGTCCATCCATTACGGTTTGCAAATCTTTTACTTAACATTCTCGTGTCCATATCACCTGGATAAACCCTTATTCCTCAGTGCATGGTATGTATTTCTATTTCCAGATCTTGTTTTTTTCTATATAATAAATCCTCTTTGAGAATGCCATGGATAAAGAATCTTTGGATATGGAAGTTGGCATCTTGTGGGGGGGGGAAAAGGTGATGTGTTCTTGGCCCCAAACTTAGGCACACAGTACAGTGAATTTAACAATAAATACTGGAAGTACCCTAGTATAAGGATTTTAAATATAGCTGGGAAGGTGAATTATTCCTTTAACATGGGGGTCACAGAGTGTCGTAGCCCCGTTGCTAAGGGTTAGCAGAAGCAGCGTCTCAGCTGGGCTGCAGTGCTATGGCGAGGCTTGAGGCCACACAGCCAACATCTATGCAAATGTCATTATGTTAAACTTTGACTTAGCCTTTCCTTCATGGTTTTAGTCCATATTTTCATCTAGATAGTTTTATATTAATTTTTTTTGTGTGTTTAGGTAGTAAGTAAATTAGCCCACCCGGGCACAGCTCATTGACCCACATCGGGGCCTGGGGGGGTGGGGGAATATAATAAAAATAATAATAATTTATAGTAAATAACATTTATAATACAAAATACAAAATTGAAAATAAAATAATATTAATAATAATAATAACACTGTACAGTAATAATAATAAAACCATAAAGAAGTACAAAAATGAAAAAAAAAGATAAAAAACGAGAAACAATATACAGTAGAAGTCCAAAAATCCGAACTGCTTGGGGATTAGGTCGGTCCGGATTTTCGGATTTTCCGGATTCTCAGGCAGTACTGTACTTTTAAAATTCAAATTTAAGGAGGAGTAAAGAAGAGATGAACAGGTACATTTTGATAGTTTATTCATTAGCAAATATAACATGCTTCATTTATCAAAACGAGCAGTTTTAAAGAAAAAGCTGTGAATTCTAGAATTTTATTCTTTGCCTTTTTTATATCATAAATTGTAGACTTTCCAATGTCGTATGTTTCCATTAGAACAGTATTGCTCACACCACGTTCTAGTTTCTTAATTATTTCAAGTTTGTCACTCAATTTCAACGTGTTCTTCTTTCTCTTCACACAACGAAGTTTATCTACTTTAGGAGCCATTATTATGGGCTTGTACAGTACTCTGTAAATGGAAAGAGTTGGACTCAAAATTCCATATGTTGTCACAGTTTGATTGCTCGTTTTAAAGTGGCGACCACGTGGTCGCTTGTTGTCACTGTGCAGCTGTGGCGCTCACACATGCGCACATACACACAAAAGCCCGCTAAAAAAAAAGTTTTCGAAAAGTCTGGATTCTTGGGTGGTCCAGATTTCTGGCATCCGGATTTTTGGACTTTTACTGTATGTGTGTTGTGTTGTCAATGGTAAGAGATAATTGAGACCCTCCAATTGTGTGTAAATGAGGCAGAAAGTCAGATCAGCAACGTGGGACTTGGTCACAATTTTTGTGATGCCATATGGCAGCAGGATCTACCATTAGACAACACATTATGCTTCCAATATCTTCCCAGGTGGTAGTACCTCCCTGTTTGATTGCTGCCTACTACCTATATTTATACATATATTCACACTTGCATAGAGAGTACAGATAGGGGGAGGTCTTAATATATCACCATCATAGAAGTGGAATGTTGTAGATGGAGAGGTCGTAGATTGGGGGATAACCTGTACTGTAGTTGATAATGCATCATGTACAGTACTTTCTTTCCCTCCAAGAATTTTTTGGCTCAATTCATCATACTTTATATTGTTTCATTTGCTAATATTCCTGCTTCCATTTACTGTATCTGAAACATTTCATTGCCTCCATTCTAACTAACAAGCTAAAGCAGTTGATAATGATGCCTGTTCCTAAGAATTGGGTATACAGTACATGTATACTGTATATGCACTAACCAGAGTGAAACATTTTAAAGGCAGTTATCACTTGAGAAGTTTGAGTTATATTCATTAATTTGTTATATATGAAAGAAAATATTACAATTACAACATGTTGATTTATAAGAAGTCACATTTAATGTTGTCATAGAAATTTTGTTACTCAAGAAAATGTAAACTGGTACCAACTCCCAAATGCATCTAAATATGAATTTCAACACAGCCTAAATGTTTCCATACCATAAAAGGCAGGTGAAAAAAATATTTGGTTTAACATGAATGCCTTTTTATAATTGACAAAAGTTATGATCTGCATGGCATATTTTCTTGTTTCTGTTTATAATAGGATGAAAAACTTACAGGGTTAGAAAGACTAAAAATTCCATTAGTATGGATATATCATTGCCAATTCCTTCAAATTTTAGATATCGGTTCCACAAGTGGATTTTTTTTCCCTTTTACAGCTCCAATAACAACCGCAATAATAACTACTCAGACAGAAACCAATCGAGGTGAGTTGCTGAGTAGTCTATACTGGTAAGACTATCTTGATGGAGAAGGGTTAATTGTCTCAGCAGTGTTCTTAACCCCTTAGTGCTTTCAATGTGTGGGACATCTCTTACTCTAGAGGAAATTGTCTTGGTGGGTAAGGATTATTGTGGATGTATATATGACTACTATAAGTTAATGGGCTGATTGGTGGTTGTTTTGTGTTGTTTAGATGCTCCAACAGCCAGAGAGTTATTAAGTACCATTCACAAGATCCTAGATACTTCAAAAGATCTTGTAAAAATAAAAAAATAAAAGTGGTCTGCAGATCAGACCCACACTTGGCAGAATGTGAATGAACCACCCATAATACACTGTATTTCTGGCATTTTACAGAGTCAGACACAGTAGATTGTGGTACTGAAAGTATTATCATCTGTTTGGATGAGCCATTTACAGTATATTAGTTTTGATAATTTTTTGAATATGTTGTACAGTTTTGTAGATGGCCATAATAAGTTACAGGGATTTATATTTTTATTGAATTCCTTGGTCTCCTATGATGTATTAGCTAATATTTAAAAATTCTTTCAGTATCTAACCAACCCAGCACTTTTCACCAAATATAAATGTACTTTAGTCATTTCTTATTGTAATACCAGTTACCTAAGACATGATTACAGCGTTAACATTGCATTATGTGGACTTTTATACATTGCTTCTCAGAATGCAAATTGGTTTGTATTATTCATACATTTGTGTTGGGAAATTTAGTGAAAGGATGAACAGAAACGAGAAATACTAGCGTGTGTGTGGTGTTTGATGGTGGTTAATTTAATTTATTTATTTTCTACTTAACAGAGAAGACATGATGGACAATCTAGGACTTGGTCTACAGGTGAGATTATTATTATTATTTTTGTATTTTACAGTAAACCTCTGATTAATGAGATGTATAATGGGGATTTTGTAAATGAAGATGGTTCAGTGTTAAGAGGATGGCTGGGTATTGAAAGTATAGTATTGGTGAGGTCTTCTTGGAGGTAGGCTCAAATTGATTGGGCATAGAGAAAGGAGGAGACCAACTGCGTCAAGTTATGCATAAGCTCTATTGTGGATGGGAGGAGAGCTAAGGGAAGGCCAAGAATGATTGTAAGTAGTGATGCAAAGAAAAAAGAAATGCATTCATAATTTTAATAATTTTTTTTACACAAAAATACATGGAGCAAAAAACATTTTATTATTGTTGTTTTTTTGTTTACAGGCCAAACAGTATATTTTATAATTTTATTACAACATTTATATTACTGCATTAAGCCAATCTGGCTTATATATAATATAATTAGTAACATTTGAACTGTACTTACATGATGCAACTAAGTTCTATTTTATCTACCAAGTTTACTTAATGAAATACAACTGACATCTACAGGTTACTTTTAAATAATCTAAGGTCTAATTATGAAAGTATAATACAGAGAATGGACACTAGCATTACTGTGAATGTGTTCAGAGTATGTTGGGCAGTTGGACTGTGGTATCATACCGGTATGGACTGAGTACTGTACGTGTTTAAATAGGTTCTGTCAAGCTGTATTTAATAGTAAGTTTAGACAAAATAAAGAGAATTTTCTTCTATGACACTTTTCTCGCATTTTATCCATAACCAAAATAATACATAGTTGATCGCGCCATCCAAACCTACCTAACCTTACCTAACTCCTTAACTGGTGGGCTGCAAGAGACTGTAGCATGGAGAGTTGCCATCACGTAATCACAGCTTGCCCTTTTAAGCATGGAAAATGGCTGTAAAAAGGTGGTGGTGGTGATGGTACAAGTTTCTCATATTTCTTTTGGCAATAGTCATCTAGTTTACTCCAACAAAAACACCCAGCTTTGCGCTGCAGGCAAAAGGTTATCGCAAAAAATTTTGATGTCATATTTTTCTTTTTTGCAGAATGGTATGGATGAACTGATAACAGGAGATCCTGTACAGACCCGAGTGACAGACACGAAAGTCTTTGTTACCTGAGGCATTTCGGGATGTTCTTCAGGTTCTGGTGAGTTCATTTGTTTATTGAACGTGTTGTGTTTGTTTTATTTTAGATTGGTGGGTTAATTTGATTACATGGGTCTTTAGATGATTAGCTTTCTGGAACAAAAATAAATTGATGGGTAATTCTATGAACTTGGGTTTCTCCTTCTGATGTCTGATAATATGAACAAGCTCCATTATATTTGTTGAATGTGGTATGTGTTATTATTTAAAGATTTTATTTTACAATTTTGACACTCGAGAACCATGAGGTAAATTTTAGTGATGAGTGACAAATAGTGTCTCTTCTGGGTTTGTAATGGTTTCTCGCCATGCTATTTATTGGAATTTCATGTGTCTCCGTGTAGCAAATAGCCACTTAATTAAACTTACTAAACATCCTCATTCCACTGGTGAGATTCGGGAAGATCATTAAATGTGAGAGGTAGGCTGGTGATAAACAGTAGGATAGCATCAGTGTTTTAGCAGTTACTCATACATACTGCACACTGTAACCCTCATCAAGAAATGGAAAATTAGTAGTAATACTGTACAGTGAGAAATCATTACAAGGAAGAGTGGATATAAAAATTCAGCATCATAGGTAAAAAAATATATACAGTATTGGTTCAATAAAATTTAGTATACATGTAAAGAAAATATAAATGCTTTTCAACCAGGAAGTAAATGACTGGTGTTCACAGTATTCAATTATAACCATTCACTTAAACTGGAAATCAGCTTTGTTTTGCTCATCTTCAATTTTTAGGTTGAATACAGTACACTGAACTTTAGGCACCCCAGAGATCAACTGAACTTTAGGCACCCCAGATATCAACTGAACTTTAGGCACCCCAGGGATCAACTGAACTTTAGGCACCCCAGAGATCAACTGAACTTTAGGCACCCCAGAGATCAACTGAACTTTAGGCACCCCAGAGATCAACTGAACTTTAGGCACCCCAGGGGCTGAACTTTAGGCACCCCAGGGATCAACTGAACTTTAGGCACCCCAGGGATCAACTGAACTTTAGGCACCCCAGGAGATCAACTGAACTTTAGGCACCCCAGAGATCAACTGAACTTTAGGCACCCCAGGGATCAACTGAACTTTAGGCACCCCAGGGATCAACTGAACTTTAGGCACCCCAGGGATCAACTGAACTTTAGGCACCCAGGGAACAGGGATCAACTGAACTTTAGGCACCCCAGGGATCAACTGAACTTTAGGCACCCCAGGATCAACTGAATAGGCACCCCAGGGATCTGAACTTTAGGCACCCCAGGGATCAACTGAACTTTAGGCCCCTAGGATCAACTGAACTTTAGGCAACCCCAGGAGGGAACCAGGACAACTGAACTTTAGGCACCCAGGATCAACTGAACTTTAGGGAATCCCTAGGGATCAACTGAACTTAGGCCCCAGGGATCAACTGAACTTTAGGGGATCAACTGAACTTTAGGCACCCCAGGATCAACTGAACTTTAGGCACCCCAGGGATCAACTGAACTTAGGCACCCCAGGGAACGAGGATCAACTGAACTTTAGGCACCCCAGGGATCAACTGAACTTTAGGCACCCCAGGGATCAACTGAACTTTAGGCACCCCAGGGATCAACTGAACTTTAGGCACCCCAGGGATCAACTGAACTTTAGGCACCCCAGGGATCAACTGAACTTTGCTCCCTGCCATATGATGAAGCAGGGTGTGTATGCAAATGGTGACTGTTAAATTTTCATTCGACTTTTATTTACTGATTTGGTAATTCGGTATTTTCTGTTGTAACTTACTTATTGGTATTATTTTTATTTATTCCTCATATTTACTGGTATACTGTATAGTATATTATTTTAAGAAAACTATAGCTACAGGAGGAAAACACACAAAGGTTTTTTTCCTAAATCCTGCCTGCTAAAATGGGGGTGCGTCTCAAATGCCATAAAATACAGTACTGTATTTAGGTGATTTTTTTATATTATTTATCGTTTTTATAAATTTAGTACATTCGTCGGAAGATAAGAACAATTGGCTTTTTCGGACAGATGGTTCCCCCTTTTAGTCTGCATCTTTTAAATGTACATACAGTAATACTAAAGAAAAAAATGCATTAATAAATGAATGTAACAATTACATTGAGAGGTTAGCTGATAGTATGTAGATGATATTCTGAAAGTGTAATGGTCACACTGGTAAATAAAGTAAAATCCCACATTGGAGAAATAAAAGACAAATCTTGGAGCTGGTATATCTTGGTCCACACACTAGGACACTCTTTAGCCAACTGAACAGAACAAAGCAAGGGGGAAAGACATAGAACATGGGAATCTGGTCTCATGACCTATCTCCTGAGTTAAGGAAGGGTGGGGACTAGGTTGATTGATTTGTGGAAATTATGATGTATGTGAAATAAGGATTTATTTGATATAGTTGGACCAGGGTTTTTATTTTGAAATGATTGATTTAATGCATTAGAGAGCTTTGAAATGTAAGAATGGTGTTCAGTAGAAAGCTGTACAGTTTTCAGAGGTGAAGTCCATGTCATCTGTAGAGTGCTTCTTGGTTAGATGTGTCTTATGGTGTCTTCGTTGTTATTCTGTCATTGTGTAGGTGAGACACAAAGTCGGCTGTTTACGCTGACCCAAAAACTATTTGTTTATGGTAAATTTTTTGTGAGCCACCATGTTTTAACTATTTACTAATTATTATTATTTTCTTTCCTCAGAGGAAGGTTAACGAGTGCTAAGTGCTGTTCTGCTATATAGCAAGGTTAAAGGACAAAGAGTGACAGTGGAACTATGTTGCAACTTAAGTAGAAAAATCATATCTTGGTGAGTGGTCTGAAGCTACTTACGTTTGTGCAACATTTCTCGATGTACACTCATATACAGTGTGGGCATAATCTTGCATATGTTGTATCCCGCTCTTGGTACAGTACCTTCCACAGGAGAAGAACCCCAATAATTACTTGATTTGTGTGTGAGGTGTGAGTAGTACAAGTGGAAGGCAATTTTCAGAAAATGGCATCTTCATTAATTGCTGTTGGTCTCAGTATAAAAAGATCAATCTAAGAATGCATTATGTGCTCAAATTTCACAAGTAATTGGCAAAGGCTGAGTTTGAGGCAGTCACAGTTGAGTGAGTGGAAGATTTTCTTCTTTTTGAAAGCCTTGTTTCACTTGACTTAATTATATTCATTATTCTTTTAATTGTTATCTTTTGTGTTGCATTAAAATTTTGGTTTCTGTACTGCATTGGACTTGGCATGTTCCAAGAAAATTTATCGTTTGAGATACAAGGTCCTCCATATATGCTGGGGATGTTTTCCAGAGAGAAGCGACTTGTAGTGAAATGTATTATAATGAGGAATTTTTCCCCATAAGAATGAATGTAATTAGGGGTACAAGGGTCCCTCGTTATACCAATATGTGTAGTTTCACATACCTGTATATGCTGCTAACAAATAGAGGAAGAAAATTTCATTATACAGTAACTGTACTTCATTTATTTTACATTTACAGAACATTATCTGCATCATCCATTGTTTTATATTAAGTCCACGTGTATCTGAATATGACACAAATACAGTGATCCCTCGGTTAACGAAATTTCGGTTAATGAATTACCTTCCATAATATTCTTAACTTCGGTTAACGAGCATTCCCTCGATTAATGAATTCCTTACGAGCGCCCCTCAACATGTTTTCGTTTGCACACTAGCTGTCATATTAGTCCGCCAATACAGTAATCGATTCTAGGGCTTAAATTCCTTACTATTTTAGTAAATATCAAGAAGTTTGTACTATTCAATAATTTTAAAAGTCTTGTATTAAATTTTTTAGTCATTTTAACAATTATTTAACATAATTTAAGTACAATACAGGGAAACTAGTTGTTAGCGTGCCAAACAGCCTGTCAACACACCATACAGGCGTCAGTCTCTCTGTCTTTTCAGTGGAGGTAACATCTTGCTTCAGACTCTTCAACAAAAACGCTTTTTTTCTGTGTTTCCAGTCAAATTATTGGTCATTTTGAAAATTATTTTACATATTGACAATATATAATGCAGTGCAGTGTTGATTTAAAGAAAATAATCTTGAATTACACCAAGTGAACTAAAATTTTATGGGTGAAATGGTGCCATGGGGTGACTTCTCTTCCACCCCAATGCCTTCTCTTCTTCCTTCTCCTCCACCCCCATTCTAATTCCCATCATCATCATCATCCAGGAGCCTTCTACATACACACCTCAAAGTAAGTGTACTTGACTACCTTTTTTGTTGAATTTAGGCAATTTTCGGTGAGCTGGAACCAATTACCCAAAAACCCATTGAAACAATGGTTTCGGTTAACGAGCAACCTGCTGGAACGAATTGTGCTCGTTAACCGAGGGACCACTGTAGTGTTAAAAACATCTACAGTATACTGTAAAAATATCCATAATAAGTACTAAAAGCTCCCTACAAGTGTTAAGTTTCTACCACTGACGTATTTTGGCGAGCTAGAAACTTAACACGCAGGACACTTTTATTATGTATTATGGTGATTTTTACTTGTACTGTACGTCCGGTACACTAAAAGTATATTAGATGCTTTTAACACTACAACATATTAAGGTACACACAATCTTAGTATAAAACAATGGATGAGGCACATGATGTATATATAAAATATTTGACATACATGTATAATTCATATTTCTTCGTACAGTATATTTGTTGGCGACGTATATGTGAAAGAACATATACCAGTACAATATATAGTGAGGACCCCCTTCATACCTAATTTATGATGACAAATGTGAGCTTTGAACTCTCACACAAGCATCAGTTTTGATGGGTTTGAAGTTCATCATACAGAAGCTCATTATTATCCAGACACTCCATGGGTTACAGATGGGTTACGTTTCTGGAGGCTATCCATCAGCCGGATGTGACCCTTCCATAGGTGATCATTGAGCACACACAGTACACATTATGTATGTATAGATATGGGACCAGTTATCTGGCATGCGTGGCACCTGCCGGATAAGGTTTTTTTCTGGATTTGGAACACCAGGCTTAAAATGTGTAGCAAACTATCTGTAACTGCCTGTGAAGAATGTTCAGATCATAGATTCACCCCTAAAAGTAGCTTTAACTGTACACTGTAATATTAAAACTTAAAATTCTAGGCATAGAAACATCAATCACAAAAAAGCTTTTAAATAGCATTAATGGAAGCATAAAAAGAGCAAAAATGATACAGGTTAGTGTTCAGATAGCATCGCAAATGAGCGGTGCTGTGCCACGGACCCTCTGACCTCCACACAGCTTCATGGTCGAAGCCCTTAGATACTTAAAACTTTATGGTTATTATTTATGTTATTTATTTTTGTACTTTCTGTATGTAGGTTTGTGTGTGTATGTAACCGATAAGAAAAGAAGACAAATTACGTATATACAGGGGGTCCCCGGGTTACTAATGGGTTCCATTCCCGAGGACGTTCTTTAGTAAAAAAATGTACGCAAGTCGAAACACATGCTGTGTGCATGCTGTACTTACAGAACAATGTTTAAAGTTCCACTATATCATAGCTTAAGTCCTTTTATACATCCAAAATCACTTTATTTAAGAGGAAAGAAGAATTAGAATGACAAAATACAGTATAGTAAATTCCTGTATAAGTAAAAAATAAGTTCTCAGGTAAATTAAACACAAATTTAAAGTTTAAACTCGTTCGTATTGGCGAGTGTTCATAAGTCTGGGACCTCCTGCCTGTATACCGAAAATTATGAGTTAAAATTATTTTAATACCATATGAAAATTATTTTTTCTCCATGTAATATCTAGTGTGTCTGAAAGTAAGTAAAGGAATGAAAAAAATTACATGTGCTGCATCTACCCAAAATTACGAGTTAAAAATAACCATAAAATCTCACAGGTGGGGTATGGTTGGAAATATCCCCGCTCGGGAATTAATTAGCACTCATTTTAAATAGGACATGGGAGAGTACTGTATCAGGTAAGGTTCATAAATCTGTAACCTGAGCCATCCGTAATGCAGGGAGTGTCTATATTAAAAAAAAAAAAAATGGTTCTACTGCATTAGAAGTGGAAAACTCCACTACTGTATTACATTAATGCGGACTGTATAATTGACCGAGAATTGGCAGTTTGGTTTTCCATTTTTTCACTTTGACAAATTACAGTGAATGTTAGCAGTATGCATACAGTATTTATTTGATTACTGTACAATTAATTTTTGTTTATAAAAAGAAAAATTTGAAAATTTCTTATTCACATCTTTAGTTGGTGAAGAAATTGCTGCAAACCTTTCATTTAATATATTTGCTCTACCCAAGAGTTAGCATTGGGTAAACCATACAAGTGTACAAAAATGTCTTTAAAATGGTGATGATAATGACAAATACCCACCCACACACACACAGGCATAGTATAGTAAAAAAAAAAAAAAAGTATTTTGTTCCCTCAAATTCGAAATCACTCCTAATTCATAATGTTTTGTGCCGTTACGAAATACTGTATACAGGCAGTCCCCGACTTACGACAAGGATACGTTCCTGGACCCTGATCATAAGTCGATTTGTTCGAAAGTCAGAACAGTGTTAATACTTTAGTTACCACAACCCTGCCCATACAAAACAACAATAATATCCAATACATAACAAATAATGTAAATAATGTAAATAAAGTGATGTTAAACAATATAGAATATTGAAAATAATGTAAAAAGGGATTTTAATAAAAAAATTTGCGATGAATGTACAGGACGTATTAGGATCCAGTTCGTAAGTGTGGACGATCGTAAGTTGGGGACTGCCTGTATATTACAAATTGTCATATTTGGTAACATTTCAAAATTTGAGACATTTTGAAATATGATATACTGTACCTGTACTGTAAATATAAAATTTTTGTAATACAGTATTTGGTAAAATTTTGGATTATGAGACCTGAATATATATACAGTATGATGTGTCGCCAAGGGATGCGACTGCCCATCTCACTGTAAACATGTACTGTACTGTACTTACTATACGCATCGTGCATTTTGGTCAAGGGTCAGTTCACATCGGTCACTCGTGGAGTGTACATCTATGGTCCACTACACAAGCTTTTTCCCACTAGCTTTTCCACCATTGTCCACTGTTTGAATTTGAGCCATTATGTTTGATAACTCTGGACCAAGCAGCTAAATCGGGTTTTATACTTAGAAATGTTTAAATTTTGATCGGGCAGAGAACGGTATCTTAAACAGCAACAAATTTAAAGTTCTCCAAGCTTAACTTGATTCTCAAATTCACCAAATTGTTTGAATGATAAATTTGTCAACTTTTTATGTCAAGTTAGCTGTTGGTTGTGATCTTGTTCTATTTTTCTCTTCTATTTTAAGTTGCACAGCAACTTGCCTCTTCAAATATTTACATATATCAGTACATCTGGTTGTGTAGGTAACTGTCCAGTAATGTTCATGGGAGCTTCACATTTTTATTTATTTGTTTTAGTTTTAAACTCAGTCTTCCCGACTCAAACTTTTTTGCCCATGGAAGGTTTCAAGGTTTTTTGTAGCTCACTGACCCAGTACTTATTGTCAAGAGCCAATATTAATGAACAGTGCCAATCCTGATGTCACATTTTGTAGATAGGGTTAATATTAGTTCAGTCATTTTATGTATGTTGTTGGAAATTTTGTAATAAAATATGTTTGCATACCTGTTGTTTTATATGCACAGCTTGACTTGTACAACTGTTTCAGGGGCTTAGCCCTCTTTCCCTACCTCAGAGGGAGGGGAAGGGTTTCCCCAACTGGGTGGATCACTGGGGACTG